GGCCGAGCGGCGCTCCGGGAGCGGGTGGGCCGGTAGCAGATGTTGCCTGAAGAGCGAAACGGGGCGTTTCTTACAGCTCGGCGTTGGGAGGGCGCCGCCGGCCCGCAGGAAAGTGGGGCGAGCTGGAGAGCTGGACGGCTTCGCCGGGCGGTACGCGCCGGCGCTCGCCGAGGGGGATTTCCCTCCTTCGCCTTCGCTGCCTTCTTCGCAGCTGCGCTTCAGAAATGAGGAGGAAGGAGCGAGGGCAGCTCGCTAGCTGCTGCTTGTAGTCGGGACCTGCCGAATGTAAACCTGCCGTGCCTTCGGGGGGACACGCCACGCTTGCCCTGCTCTGCAGTTGCCTTAAACAGCTCTCCAGGATGGTATTGGGAGAATCGGTCTAAAACGTTTGTTTTCCGACTATCTGCTCGAAGGACACATTGGTTTGGCTGCTAGAAAGTGATGTTTTCCTGTGGGACTTGTGGAGGCACAACGGACAAGCCTGGTACAAGAGGAGGATAAGCTGCCTTTTGGATCAAGGTTATTTATAGCTACTGCCAAAAAAGTAAAGGGCTGGTTTATTATTCTTACTGTTCTGGATTTAACTTATTTCCCCCCCCCAAGATTTTCTCCGTGCCTTGGTCTAGACCGTACACAGCCACTGTGGATTCTGTCTTTTTAAGCTGCCGCACCATGTTTTATTTATAAAGGAGATGGGACTCTGCGAACCAGTTAAATGGATTACAGTTAAGCCGTCACCTACAGAAGATAATGTGCTGCCTTCTGTAACGCTTGTTCATGTGGAAGGCTTATTCGGGAGATTTCAGATACAGATTCTGACCTGGAAGAATAAATGAAGCCTTCCATGGAGTGTTTGAAATATTTGAGCCACTGCTGGTTTTTGCTGTACTTTGTTTTTCTGTGACATGGGAACATTTCTGTCACTTTCTTACTGAAGCACTTTATATTTTAGAGGGGGGGGGGAACCTCACATCCAGGTAAAGTTGCATTTAAACTGATGCACTGATTATGAATGACCTCAGCCACCTCATAAGTTATGATGTATATTTTGTATCTATGCATCTTACACTAAGGGCAAGTTTACTATAGTTCTTTAGAGTGCTAGTGTTTTTTAAATGTTTCCCCTGTATCCATGAAAACGGAGGTATAGTGGTGTACTTGTGCGAATACTTTCAGGATGGGGAAGCCGCTTAGCAGACCAGACTGTCTACGTCAGAATCCTCCATGTGTTGGCAAAGGGGAAGAAGATGAAGATCTAAATATTGAGGACTGCTACGTTCCCCAGAGGTCCATCTATGACACTGTGCGGCTGAATGAACAGATTGATTCAGGCTCCAAGGGCAGTCTTTCCTCGAGGCATTTCACGGATCGGACCTTACCCTACAGTCACAGAACACTGGACATCAGCACTTTGTGCTCCAATGGTGCCCTTACTTCTTCCAGTGTTTTTGAGCTCCGAAGCCGTGAAGCTAACAAGTTAGATGAAAAAATGATCTTTGATGCTCTCAAACTGAACAGTGATATAATACGGACAGCTGGATTACCCAAAGCAAAGTCTCACACAGAAAAGAAAGAGCATAGGCGATCGTGGAGAATGTTTGTTCCGCCCAACTTTTCGGATTACACGAATAAAAGTGAATGCTCCTTTAATGAAACTGCTGATATGTCAGATACAGCTAGATCGGGCAAATGCAAATGGGGTACGAATTCTCTTACCTCGGAAGAGGATGATTCTGGTTTATGCAGCCCTCCAACAGAAAGAGAAGAAAAACAAAATACACTGTTAGCAGGGGAGCAAGCTCAAATACGAAGTTTGTCTTCTGCAGAAGATATCCATGCAGTAGGTCAGTTCAGACCATATTTCCCAGCAGTTTGCAGAGAGCAGCAAACCCCACTGCTTGCAAGCAGTAGTGTCCCTGTCAAAGAAAGCTGCAGATTGGCTTTGCATGACATTTTACCCTCTGGAAAAGTAAAACAAAGCAATGCACAGGCATGTGAGAGCGATCAGGAAGAGATGGGGGAGAAATACTCTCACTTACAAGGTTTCAAAGAGAAAACTCTGTCACATGAAGATCCTCTTCAAAGTGATGGAAGAAGTATTTCCCTCGACAAAAATGAAGTAGAAAATGCATATGAAGTTCATGAAAAAACTAAAACACAAGTCACAACAGTAGAGAAGGATTATGTGAATGATGCACATCATCATGTAGATGTTTATTATGCAAATGTTGCTGTAAATACTAGTGACTTGGATTTAGCAAAATACAAGATTTTATCTGATACAGAGGAATCCAGTATAGCACATACAGGCTCAAATGAAATGGCATTTTCTGTTCAACAACTTGAGTTAGATAGTACTGTAAACTGTCCGAAAGCTATCCCAGGGAGAAGTAAAGGCAATATCTGGACTACTGGCATCCAAGAAACTTTGGATACAGTCTGCAATGGCCTATTGTCTAACAAGGTAATTAAAAATCCATAGATTTGTGAAATAGTTGTAATGCAGCCTTAAAAATACTTGTTTAAAGCTTTCTTTAAGTTTTGTTGTCGTCGCAAAAATGCCATTTTTTATTAATTCGGCAGCTGCAGTAATCAGTGTCATTTGCATAGCACACATGGGATGTCCAAAATAGGTGAGCTGGTCAGTTCAGAAAATGAATTAGGGGCAAATTCTGAGAGGGATGATTACTTCCAGCTGTGTGGGGCAGGGTTATTTATTGCCCAGCTGGTGCCTGTTACTGCTGTTGTGGAGCGTCTCCTCCGTGCGCCCATGTTGGTGCTCGGTGTTTGTACAGAGTGTGGTTACAGGCAATGCCATTCAAGGGCAGCTACAGCCCATGTGTTCAGCCTGAGCAGCCTTACTCATCAAGGTGTAAGCAACAGTATCAGATTGTTGTGGTTTGCAAAGCAGACAGATTAAAGGCTCACTGCCTCCTCTGAAAGCTGCCTTTGGCGTTTGCGTGCCAGAAAGCAGATCTGACGTTACAGTAGTATTTTACAAGCGCAGGATCTTGCAGCGCTTTTGCGAGTGGTGGATGAGGTAAGAGAGTACGAAGTGAAGCTTTGTAGTATGGAAAGGGTGTTTGCCTGGTCTGTAATTTTTTTCTTCCCACTCTGGCTGAAATCTGAGATACTTCAAGCTTTGTTGCTAAGTTGTTCTGGTAAACTTTGGCCTCAGCAATAATTGTAATTTATTTTAAGCTTCTCTCTGCAAAGAATGCATGTGTTTTTAAAGGGCAGATTATGGAGATCAGTCCTTTCTGTGGTAGGACGTTGCTCTCAAAAGATGAGGCTTTATGGCACATAAAAGAAGAATTTCTTATTGATTCTGTGTGGAAATATTATTCTGCCTCCTCCCTACCCTACAGTCAAGAAAAACACAAGCGTTTTCCCTTTTCTGGGAGCAGCCAGCTGGTTGCACTCTCTCAGTTTTCATGTAACCACAGTCTTACAGTTTTCAGGTTTTTTTGTCCATAGGAACAAAATTCTTAGGGGTGCTTAATTTATTTTACCCCTCGTGTTTAGTGTCGTTGCTCTAGCTTCTAGATTGACTTGTCAAGCTGGTGGAAGCGTGCTCAGCCACCTGAGGTCTGCTGCCTTAAAAGCAATCACTTGCCAGTGCTGTGTTTGGTGCAAAAGAGGAGAGTCACTGGTATGTTCAAAGCGATCCCTGCTTTTTCAGGATGCTGAGAAAGGTTGCTTTGAATGCACTAAGTATACACCAAAACTGTTACTGAATGCTGCTATAGAAACAGAAGGATTTAGGGTCAAAAGTTGAGCATTCTTTAGCATTGTTTATTCATTGGTTATTTTTCACTGGCCTGTGTAATTAATTCAGGGGCTTCAGGCCATTTTCTGATCTCACTGACACTGGTGTCAGTGCAGCCTAATGCAGCTGAATACAAATGGAAATTTACATTGCTGTTGCTAATGGTAATAATCTGGCTCTGAAAAAGCTTAAATACCTGAAAGAGTAAAATAAAGCAAACAGAAAACTGCTCAAACTGCTGTTTGGGTACGGTCAAAGCCCTGGCAATTTGCAAGAATATCCCTCTGAATGAGAACCCATTTTCCTGGGCGTCTGCTGGGATACTGTTTCAGCAGCATCTGTAGTGCCTCCTCCTCACTTGTTACCATTATATTCTAAAAAGTACCTTAAAATATCTCTTCCTTCACTGCTTCTTTAACATAAAACTTTTGCTTTTGTCCTAATTTGGAAAAAAATGCCCAATTGTCTCTCTTGGTGTGTGTTTGTTTATTTATTTGAGGACAACTTAACAATCCTTCTGTGCCACTTTTTGGTAGATTTTGTAGATAGATAATTAGATAGATAGATGAGTTTCTCCAGTCTTGAATTTTTTCCTCTATTAGAAGTTCTTTCTTTTTATCCCCCCACCACCCCACTTTCCCCCCTTCTCTCTCTCTCTCCCCCTTTCCTTCCTGTCTAAAACTACTCATGGAAATGTACATAATTTTCCCTCTATGGTGTATTGCATTTACTCCATTTATATTGAGTCTTCTGTTTAGATTTATTAATTATTTTTTTTTTAGGAAGGTGCTGATGAGGAATGGTTTCCTTTCTTCTAGACACCAATTTCCAGCAGTTTTTTTGTTGCATACTGTGATGTAAACACCAGACGTCTTTTATGTCAGAAGATACAATGTTTCACATGTGTCTTGGATTTCAACTGCAGGTATTCCAGAAAGAAGAAATTGAACCCCTGCAAGTAAAACAACAGGAGGTAAATTGGTTGGGTCAAGGCCTTATTCAAAGTGCTGCTAAAAGTACCAACACAGAAAACCTTGAACATGACCTTGAAGATGTCAACACGCGATGGAAGACTCTTAATAAGAAGGTTATTATTTTGTATACTATTCTCCTTTTGTTCTGTTCTGCTTTTTGATTATTTGCTTGCTGACGTCTTTCAAAATACAGGAAATTAAATATTCACTAAAAGTATGAATTATATTACTTTACACAATCACTTTGTTGGTAATTCTGAGGATAAGATTTATATCACTAGTAGCCAGAGGTATTACTATCATTTATAAGGTTTTGTCAAACCTTCTGTAGGTCTGTCCTGGATTTTTTTTCAGGAAAGACTCCTCTAGGACTATGTGTTCCTTCCTGCTTAAGCCGAGCAGGGAAGTTTGATAACCCAATCAAAGAGATTGGAGTTGTGACACATTCATGGGAAAGGTAGCTATGTCATTTGTAGCCAGCCACTTTCAAGTAGTTCTTCTTCAGTCTTTGTTCATGTGTTTTTTCACTCTGTTGTATTCATTCATGTGCACGTGTTACAGCCCAGCTTTGTGACTAGTGGCACGTTTCCTTTATAGCACCTTAAGGATTGTATTGCTTGAGACATCGGAAGGTACCACTGCTTTGGAAAACTGGCTGTAGATGTTTTTCTACTTCCAGCAGTAGCTGCTGTTGGAAAATGGAAAGGGTGGAAGTAGAAACGGCGCTCATTTTCCTCCGCTCTGTCTTCCTGAAGGAGTGATGCAGCAGAACCACAGACACCTGTGGTTCACCTATTTGCCTTCTCCTTTCCTATTTCTTCTTCCCTTTGAAGGGATTATTGCCCGAATCATTGAGGTTGGAAAAGACCTCTAAGATCATCGAGTCCAACCGTCAACCCAACCCCCCCATGCCAACACCACCATTCTTCTTCCCTTTGAAGGGATTATTGCCCTTTATTAAGAGTTGCTACTTCGGGTTCCTGGCTTGGTCTTTGTATAAGGAAAATAAAGACCGTCTGAAACACAAACATCCTGTCAGTATACTTCATAATACTGTAGCTATATAAAACAGGAGTATCTCTTGTAAGGAACTACTAGAGCAGTCTGATTTACGGGGGGTCAGCCTCTTCTTTTCATTGGATGTCTGTAGCTCCAAGAGATTAATGCTAAATTGTGCCATCGTGCTGTTATGAATAGCTATGAAAATGAGAGTATTTGTTAGTGATACTGCCAGATGTTCTACAGATTTTGACTACTTATTTCACAGAAATGAAAAGGTGAGTACAGTCCAATCCTCTGCTTTTTTTCAGGTGGCCCAGCGTGCTGCGCAATTGCAGGAAGCTCTCCTTCACTGTGGGAGATTTCAGGATGCCCTTGAATCTCTGCTTAGCTGGCTCATTGATACAGAAGACCTTGTGGCTAATCAGAAACCACCATCTGCTGAATTCAAAGTTGTGAAGGCCCAAATACAAGAACAGAAAGTAAGTTAAATGCGTTCAGAATCTCTCTCCTTCCACTGGATCAATGAGAATAAATACCCAGTCTTTGGCAAAACATAAAACCTCTTCAGGTGTATTGTATTATGTTGAAGTGTGCTGAGGTGTTTAAAGCAGCCATCTGTTCGGTATTCAAGAATCTGTCCAGGGTTGGGAGAAGTGCTCATCTTCTGGGACATAAGAGAAGAGTGACACTGTGCAATTTGAGCTCTGGTTAGAATTATTAACGCTATCTGGAAAGGATTGGTAAAGGTCCATTGGAAAAAGAGAAAGCATAAAATCCAGTGTTTGGCCATTTGGAAAGTAGGAAATAAAAACTAGTAAATTTTCATTGAAATAATTCCAAGGTAATATTGCAGATTATGGACTTAAATACTTAGCTTTTGATCCTGATTGTGATCTGATCGTTGTTGGTAATTAGTTGGAATGCTGTTGGGAAATGGCCTGTGCTAACGTAGAAGCGCTATCAGTGTTGTCAACTTCTACCATTTTTCATAATGGTTATAGAAAAAATAACCATAATGTTGCTCATGAAACATACAGTCCATGCAGTTGGACTGTGTGGCCTACTGCCACCTGGAGATTTAATATCAATAAGGTCAATACAGGTTGTCATGTTGGGATACCTGCAGAGGCAAAATGTTAATGTTACCAAAGGCAACTAGAGAATGGAGGAAGGAAGGATTTTAGAGGTGTGTTTTATTCTTCATGGAGAAGTTAATTTACTGGACTAGATCAGTGAACTCCATTGTATCTCAAACAAGTGATGAGTTGATTATACAATAGTTTTTATATCTATTTTCCTATCTATATATATCAGAATTATCTTTGTGTTGCCAAATCTAGAAGGGCATGCAGCTTTCTCAAAAATGTTCCTATAAAATGTATCAGATACTCTAAACAGCTTGTTTCCCTCAATGGTATTAAATAGAACTTTTTCCTCTATATGTTCACTCTTTGGGCTGCTACACATCTTTACCCCATAGAAACCAAGGAGGTTGTCTGGACTTGGTGAAACTCTGCTGTTCATAGCAAAGCAATTGAGAAACTAAAATGAGCATGTGTTGCGGGGGGGCGGGTTGGTGTGTGGGGTGTGTGTGTGTGTCTGTTTTTGATTAGCATTATTCACACTTTCATCACAATATAGGCATTGCTTTTTCTTTTTTTTGCTTTAACAGGTTTTCAAGAAGTCTAGTTCCTTCTGTTTTTACACTTTTGTTATTACAATGTTTCTTAATAACCTGGTGCCTGATTGCTTTCTCTGTAGCTTCTCCAGAGGTTGCTGGATGACCGCAAGCCTACCGTTGAGGTAATCAAGCGTGAAGGGGAGAAAATTGCAGAGTCAGCAGAACCTGCTGATAGAGTGAAAATCTTGAAACAGTTGAGTTTCCTGGATAGTCGATGGGATGCATTGCTCAGTAAAGCTGAAACAAGGTATTTGAAATTCTTTCATAGATTTGAAAAATGTAGACATAGCATGTGATAGATGATTAGAAGCAGCATGTGGAACTCTATAGTGTGAAATCTTGTAAGTACTATCATTCTTGTTATTACATTACATAATTGTGTCTTGATGTTGATATAATAGGTCTTCTGAAGGAAAAGTGGAGAGAAGTGACTTGAACAGACCAAAAGCTTTTAAAAAAAGTTTAGCCTAAGATGCTACAATCTGCTAGGATTAACTGTATATATATCTTCTGAATATTTTATCTCTGTCAGTTAATTAGAATGCAAGTTTCTTGATGCAAGAACCTGTTTTGCATAGAATCAAGTGCAAATCTTACACTTAACAAATAATAATGATGTTCCCTTGGAACTTCAAAATCCTGACATGCTGTTACAAAGAGGGGGCACTCAACTCTTCTTCCCTTTTTCTGTTTGGTGTCATCCATATAATTAGTTTCTACACCTTAGAGATCCTCATACTGTCCATTGCTGATGTACTTATTGAAGGTGCTGAGCTCCCTTAGTTCTCAAGAAGAAAAAGGACCATCAAAGTATGTAACTATATTCTAGCAACACAGAAAACACTGTCTCTTAAAGACATTGCAGTCCAATTCAAGTTCCAATTAAAAAAAAACCCCACAAAACCAAAAAGCATACACACAGCATCTGTGTATACACACACTTAGATTTATGAGTTGTTGTCGACATATAAAATACCTGGGAAGTTATGAACTGTGAAGTGTCTTTAAAGAAATTTGTGTTGAAAGGGTTGCTGAACGTGTTTTCTGGGTGGGGATTTGAAAAAGGACAGCCTTGTTCGAAGTAGAGAGAAGAAGAGTGTGCATAAGAGGTGGCCTGAAAAAGGCCTATAATTGAGAACAAGAAAGGACTTGGAAAGTTGAAGAAAAAGAATTTAAGTGAACAGTGAAACTTTACAATGAAGAACAAATGGATGTGTTGGGATTGGGGCGCTTAGAGTAGCATTGAACTCATCTCTGTTGTCTCCTACTCCTGGTAGCCTCTCTTTAGTTCCTTTACTCTGAACCTCTTTTGTTACCTCATACTAATAATATGATTATTTAATTAGTAGAGTCAACCACTAATAGACCATTATTTCCTTCTTTCTTTTTTGTTTTTTCATTGAAGGAATCTGACTCATTAGCTGGGGTAAATGTTAATGTCATGTTTAATTTAATATTATTCTCCCAGTCTGGTGATACTTAATTAAAAATCAAATTGCAACTTTTTCCAAGCCATCTATTAGCCGCAAGCTCATCTCCATTTTTCTTTGGCCGGTCTCTAGAAATGAAGAGGAGACTTGAGAATGATTTTGAAAACTATGTAGAGTACTTCACTGAGTGTTCTGTGGCTAAGTGTGTCAAGTCTACCTTGTTCATAAGCCTTGGGAAGCACGTATAAACATAGCTTTTATCTGGAATGAGATCCTCATTTGAAAGACAATATTGTGATGTTTTTCATGTAGGGCAAATCTCTCTTAAAAGTCTGCTTGAATGAAATTTGTTCAGCAGTGGTTGTAGAGAAGACTCTTCCTGTAATCAAGAGCCTTCTCTGAAATGTAATAATCTGAAGCAGAAATGTTTTAGATACTGCTTTTTTATTTTGGAGGTCAAGTCTCTGTGCTTTATTAGCATTGTCTTGCTAACTTCATTGAGAGCTTTTATCCAGAACAAGAGATGCAAAAGTAGAGGCAAATAGTTCTGTTCACATCATTGAACAAATGTTTAAAGATATTTTACAGTGCTGAGGAAGCATGACAATATGTTATGGTTCAGTAAAGCCTTTGCCTAACTTTAAAACATGTATAATAGTCAAGGGAATGTAACTTTATGCTTAAAGACATCTAGAAAGTCGAGAACTATCCTAATTGGGTATAAAATGATGTTTTGCTGAATTCAGTGCTAGATTATTTTTAGCAAAAAGTATATGAGTAAAGCGATATTCTTTTTATTTGCAAAACCGCAATATTAGCTAAAAGAGTTTCAAACAGCTTTGGGTGGTTTGTTTTTTTTTTATTTTATTTTATTTTTATTTTACCTTGGTTTTCACTGAGTATCATGGATATATTTCTATTTCATTTGGTGACTGGTTCCTACAGTAAGACATAATTATTTCCTGACACAGCTGGTAAGTGAGCCTACCAGGGGAAGTGCCTCGCTCAACCTGCTGTTTACAAACAGAGAAGGACTGGTGGGAGATGTGGTGGTCAATTTTAATTATAAGCCATTCAGACGGTATGTTAAATAAGCAAAAAAGCCACTTCTTCCCTCCAGATTAGACAGACAAGGAAAGAAACAGTGAACTGACCCTCTCCTGTCCTCTCAGCATTGCTTTGCTTTCTGACAGCTACGTGAGCCTGGGAGGCTGACGGCCCGTAGCCTTCCTAATACACCTGACTTAAAGGGATCACTTCTCAAATGCCAGCCAGGTACGTAAGCTCAGCACCTCCCACTTCACTTAGCTGCAGATAAAAATTGTATGTGACAGCTCTGCAGTGCATAAGCCTGGCTGTAAAGAATTTCTGGGACTTGGGAAACACTGTCTGCAGTCTTTAATGCAGAGTTTAGGGGATGATAAAAATGTCCTTTAAGGAAGCTTACATTTTTGAATCGTAACAGGGGCAAGTGTCTCCTACATATGGATTTTAAATATTAATTGTAGACCGGTTGTTCTAGACACAGCACAAGCAAAACAGGTCCTAGAAAGCTGTGTCCAGCCCTGGCCTCTGTACCCACCTGGCAAACAAGCTGAGCATGCTGTGGGCTTTACACTGAGTGTGCAAAGCTGTTTGCTAAGGAGAGGATGAAAGTGTGTGCGTGTTCAGTCAAGTAATAATAATCATCTCCTAGGAGTAGGCCTTGTCAGCCTTGGACACTGCTTTTACAGCTGAAAGTTTAAGTAAAGCTACTCCAACAGATAGTTTTGTATACTGGAAAGGGTGACCAGGTAACTGGTGGACAGGACTTGCTGTGGCTTCCAGTCTTCTATGGCAAGATAGGGGAGCTTTCTAAGAGACTTGTCCAATACTTGGGGAGGATAGCTTTCATCTGTGTATAAATGACTTAATAAGGCACTTTGCTGTCCCAACCCCAAAACATCAAATCTAGCAATACTCTATTTGCATTTAGGTCAGTTGTAAAACAATGGCGAAAGTTGCCTTTACAAGCAAAAGGATATCCTGCTATTTTTTTCCCACAGGTTAAGTTTCTTGGTTTGGAAGCATTTAAAAATATTTCTTAAATTTCCGTTAAGGTTTAAAAATAGCACCCAGGCTCTTTCTCAGTTAAGAACTTTGCTTTCTTAAGGACCGAGGTAAAACTCCTGTCCTCTCAACACATGCGTTTTCTTTTTTTCCTTTGGGAATACTATCCTTGGACCCACTAACAAGAATCCCTTTATTCACTTCCCTCCCGCTTGCCTTCTCTATTGATGCACCCGTGCTGGTGGCTGATGCCTTCCAGCTCCCCTCCAAGTTGTGTGGTCTGTCCCAGGCAGCAGCACAGACCTGTGCTGGGTGCTGGCCTGGGGCTGGTGGTGCTGCTCCAGGCTCCAGCCTGCCTCTTCAATTCCTTTGTTTTCCAAATTTTTATTTGCAGTGGTGGCAATGCAGAGAAGTGGCATGGGGTACTGCTCTTCAAAACAGACAGACAAATAAAAGGTCTCGGTTCAGAAAAGCAGTCCTATTAAGTATTAAAACAGTGTGAGAGCCTGCATCTCCAAGTCTTGTTTACTGAGTCATTAAAGGGAAGTGCATCAAGTGTCACCACTGCCATCAAAAATCTAGCTTGGCTCATTTTCCAAGGGGAAAGTGGTGTTTGGAAAGGGAAAAAACTTCTGAGAGACAGCAGCAGTTAATTATCTGAGGTGATCCCCAGAACCACAGGACACCTCTCACCACTAAAAACCCCAATTTCCTTGATGGTCTTAACAAATGTGGTTACTGTTTTCTTACCTTTTCATTGAACTGAAATGAAGATCAGGATTTACTGTCAAATAATTTCTCAAGCTCACATTACGGGATTTGGAAATGAAGTATACTAGCTGTAATAAAATAATACCTACTACATTAGTGTTTCCATGGAAATGAAACCATGCTAGTGCCAAAATTATGGTCGACATCAGAAGTCAGCCTGCTTGAAGACTGTAGTTCCTATGTGATTCAAGGTTACTTGCAGTATGAATACGCAGGGTTTTGTGCTACTGGCACTGAGCGTCCATAAGATATACAGTAGTGGTCAAGAATGGGATGAGAAAGTGGAAGTTTGGGAAGCATGTGTGGCTTTTCAAGTGTTGCTAGATTTTTTTGGTTAAAGCAGTTGATTTGAGAACCGAAGTGCATCCTTTGTACTCACTCGTATTTTTAACTTTTTGCAAAGGATTCAGGGGTGGGGGTTTTTTTGTTGGTTTTTTTTTTACTATTTTACACTTACTTCATCACAAAAAATAACCTTTCTCTTGGCGTGTTGATAGGAACCGTCAGTTGGAAGGCATCTCAGTGGTAGCGCAGCAGTTCCATGAAGCTCTGGAGCCGCTGGTAGAGTGGCTGACCACCACAGAGAAGAGGCTTGCAAATGCAGAACCCATTGGAACACAGGCCTCCAAACTGCAGCAGCAAATTTCTCAGCATAAAGTAAGATACAAACCACACACTTGCTTGTGTCATTCTTCTTAGACGCTTCTGTAAAGTACAACACAACTGGCAAAGCTGTTGCGGTGTTCCTGTGTTTTACCATACTGAATTTTTTTTCTGTAATTTGAGTTTTATATACTTAAGTTGGCAATATGTCCTTTTTCGTTCAGTTTTTATTGAGTTTCACTTATGTTTCTTTTATGTTTTTCTGATTTTCTTTTCCATTATTCTTCATTATTTAAAAAAATATAGGCCCTAGAAGATGATGTCCTAGCTCACAATAAGAGTTTACATCAGGCCATTAGTACTGGTCAGTCTCTAAAGACTATGAGCTCCAGGGAAGATAAAGATATGGTGCAGGAAAAGCTAGATTCTTCTCAGGCCCGATACATTGAGATTCAAGAGAAGAGCAACAGCAGGTCTGAACTTCTTCAGCAAGCTTACAGCAATGCTCAGATTTTTGGGGAGGACGAAGTTGAATTGATGAACTGGCTGAATGAAATCCATGATAAACTGAGCAAATTGTCAGTCCAAGATTGCAACACAGAATTGCTTGAGAAACAGCACTCTGAACTACTGGTATTTTGATTTCATTTATTATTTAATTCATTTTTTAGATTTGATTTATATTTCCATGCTTCATTTATTTTTCATTAATATATTTTTATTAAAATGGCAGTATGCTTATTCCAAATAAAAAGAATATAATTTGTTATGTCTGTGCTAACACAAATGGCCTTTTGTCTTAGGATCTTCAGGAAGAGATTTTTCTTAGAAAACAAAATGTTGATTTGGCTATACAAAATGGCTTGGAGCTTCTCAAGCAAACAACAGGTGAGAGCTTATATAAAACTATGATTCATCAGGCTTTTTTTTTGTACTTGTAAGTGCTTATGAGAAAATTAAAGTGGAACTTGTAAATATTAGTCTATATTTGCTGGTTAAAGTGGTTGTAGTTATTTATTTTACAAAAGGTTTGAGGTCAAGGTAGGTTATGTTTTTGGGCCAATTTTACTATTAATGTAAGTGAGCAAAAGTCCTTTTTTGCCTGTAGAGAATTTGGCCCTTGAATTCTTTATTATTTTTAGTGGAAAATTATTTTAGTGAACCTGCATTCCATTCCTAATAGCAAGTTATGGACATTACTCATAATGGAGGGCTGTTTGGCAGTGGACGCAGTGAATTCCCTGCAGGCATCCACAGATGAACGAGGTATTAGACTACCTTTTACTGCAAGAGGAAAGCTTCGTCCATTGGAGCTAATACTGTGGGAAAAGTTGCATTCCAGTTGTACACAACGTGTCTGTTCTGTAGATCAACATCTGTCCAGATTTTCCAGTACTTCTAAAGTTCTTGAACTCTTTTAAGACACACATATGGTTGGGGGCAGCGGGGTATCCTTTTCTGTTCCAAACTTAGACATTATGCATAGTCTATAATGAAATTGGAATATACACTAGTAAATTTCAGTAGGTTGTTTTTATTTTAGCCTTTTGAGTTGTTTTTCAAATTGACAGTAATGAGGGTATACAGTGATGTCAAATATTACTGTAATTGAAAATCTAGTTAGTATTTTGTTGATTTTTTTTTCACATTTTCAGTAACTTTTTTTTTTTTCTTCCCCCTTTATAAGAAGTATTATGAATTTAAGGGTGGATTTTTTCTTTTTAAAGAACATTTGTGTTAAATATTGGATCTAAGTCCTTACTTTCTAATAGCTTAGTAGAGCAGAAAAAAGACAGAAGGATATCCTGAGCTGAGGTAAACTTCGTAGCTCCGTGGACTTTAGTGACAGCAGGATAATTTACAACAGTAGACGATTGACCTTGTCATTGTGTTTGGGTTATTTTATAAATTAAATACTGAGTTTTCTGTAATAGGTGGCATTTGGGATTTGGGTTTTTTTTTTGCTTTTAAATATTTGTGATCACAGGAAGTAACATCCCTCTGATATTTTAGGTGATGAAGTTGTAATAATTCAAGATAAACTGGAAGGCATTAAAGCGAGATACAAAGACATTACGAAATTGAGTTCTGATGTATCCAAGACCTTAGAGCAGGCTCTGCAGCTTGCAGGTCAGCTGCACTCAACTCACGAGGAACTCTGCAAATGGCTTGACAAAATGGAGGTGGAGTTACTCTCATATGAAACTCATATACCAAAGGGTGAAGAATTAAGCCAAGTACAAGAAAGACAAAAAGTAGGTTTTAGAACATGTGAATTACTTATTGCTGTATGATTCAGCTAGGTTTTGTGTTAACTTATGTTTGGCATGAAGTTGTTTTGTGAATAACTAATTTTGGCATCAGATCATTTGACTAAATGTAACGGTAGTTAAGACTCAAACTCACTTTCCAGAGTAATCTGTTATAATCACTTATGAAATTGGGCTGAGGTTTATTTTTAGCACAAGAGAAGCACAACATTTCCTTTTTATTCAAGCAGCAATCTAATCCTGGGAAAACTCTTAAGTTGTCAGACAAAGTTGTTTTGGTTCTTTAGTTGTGACATGGATAAAATCCTGTAAAGTATCAAAAGAGTCAGCATTTAAAATACATATTACTAATCTTGTTTAACAATATTTATTTCAAAAGAAAAATTGTAGTATAAACTGGATGGTGCAGACAATGTTGAGGAGGGGAAGCCAAAAAAAAAATCTTTCCATTAGATTTCTTACATATATAAAAAGAAATGAAACAGTGGTGGGGGTTTCTGTACAGGTAAAAACTCATTCCTGAAGCATTATGTGATGATTTGATTGGAATTTAATCCAGTCATTGCTCATTTAACAAATCACTTGAATTCATCATATTTTGCTTTATTGAGTGTCTGATTTCACTTGCTGGTGATTTAGTTCCTCGTGGAGTTGCAGATTGCAAAGAATATCTGTTAGTTTTATTTTCTTTGGTTGCTTCATTAAGTACTAACAACTCTTACAAAATTACAAAGAATGTCAGACTGTCATACTGACTGGAGAAATATGTTTAAGATACTTCCTGTAGAAAATTCTCTCTAAGAATCACCCACTTCTCTGTCAAACAGCTTACTTTTTTATTAAAAAGCTAATACAACTGAGCTGAAAATAAGTATGCTAAATTATCCCTTTGGTTTGCGTGGAAAACATTTCAGTTCTCGACTTATGGAGTAGTTGAAAGAATAAAAAAACATGTGCAAGCTGCGTGTGTTCAGCTTGTATGCTGGTATGTTTACTTTAAATGGCCTTTTTCAGGAGTTGAAAAAAGAAGCAAAGAACAACAAAGGCTTACTGGACACTCTGAATGAAGTTGGCAGTGCCTTCCTGGAGCTGGTGCCGTGGAGGGCCAGAGAGGGGCTTGACAAGATGATAACAGAGGACAACGAACGTTACAGATTAGTGAGTGACACGATCTCTCAGAAGGTGGATGAGATTGATGCTGCCATCCTGAGATCCCAGAAGGTACTGAAAACTGTTCTTTGGGCAGTAAGAGTTTCTGGCCATGTGTACCTGAACAAAAGATGTCCTTTAATAATGCTGCCAAAAGCTTGTTGTGCTTGAGCAGCAAAAGGCCTGTTTGAATGAAATGGGACTCCACTGTTAAGATGTGAATGCCAGAACTCAGCTAATCTGTACACTGTTGTAGTTGTCTGCCTTTTTGTTGATACAAACATCAGTCTTGTAGCTAAAATTGCTGTAACTATCCTGTGGCTCCTTAAGTGGGAGTTTGCTTAAGTAAGAACTAAATGGCCCATGTCTTTTGTAGATCATGTTGTGTTAAGTAAAATATGGTCCAGATCCCCAGCCAATTTTGCTGGATGCAGCACTGAAATCACTAGGGTTGCCACACCTTTTAGCATCAGCTGATTGTCTAGCTCCTCTGTACTTTCCACAATTAAAAGCTGGATCATCTTGTTCAAGCTGTAGTGGAGGATTTAAATAGCAATTGCTTTTATTCATATCCACAATGCTTTTCTTCTTGGGGCTCAAAAATTGAGTTATTTAGTATGTGGAGGTTTCTGTACAGGCACACAGGTATATATATGGGTATACTTTGAGAACTGGCACTCTAATTTCATCTCTCAATAGTCCCATATTTAAGCTTGCTTATAAATGCATTGTGGAAACACAATTTTCCAGTGTCTGCCTACAGTTCAGGCATAAAAATATTGGTGGAGATTTCTGTTTCTGCTAATAGTTCCCATAAACAGTTGTAACAGGACAAGGAGAAAGCATGTGTGGTATTTCCAAAGTTTGTTAAAAGCCGACTAAAAGAGGCTGGCGGTAACTCAGATCTCCTTGTAACTGAGGTTAAAAATAACTTCTTGTTTCTTTTTAAGGGGTTTGCTATGAATATTATCTTGTCTTGTTAACCAAATCCTCAAAAATGAAGGGTGATTTTTTTAGTGAGTGGTAAGGTGAGATAGGAGAGTATATGTTGGCTCTCCTTCAACTTTTCTGAATTCCGTGAGTGTGTTGCATCCCCTAGCATAAGTTCAGTAGATTCAGGTCCAGGCATGAAAGGTTCAGAGCTGCTGCTCCACTAGCTAATGTTTCAAGGGCACATTGCACCCTGGTCCTGCATACCCCTAACCTCCACTTCAGCCCAACTCGCATCACCACGATATACTCCTATATGCTATATCCTATGATAAATATCAAGTGGCTTAACACGCTTCCAGTGAAGGATAAGCTACTTTCCATTTAGCTCAGAGAAAGACTATGCAAAATAAAAAATATTTTTCAAGAAGCTAGTGCTCTGTAAGCTTACCCTGTGGCAACTTGTTCAAGTGCCTGTACTATTAAAAAGTTTTGGGTGGAGGACAAAGCCACTAAGATCATGGGGGTTCAATGGGACTAGTGTGGGATTCGTGCTAGACGTTACTGGCCCAAGGTGAGAAATGTAGTAAGCTATATGAACGGGTAAGCATGTGTTTCATGTTGTGAACGGAAGCTGGAAGGCTTCATAGACTAATGCAATGTCCTGTTTTTTAACTACATGGGCAAAATGCTCCCAGATGGGTAGAATTATCCTGGAGATAAATATAGCTACGTGTTTTAATCTTAATTTCTCAGTACTGAAGGCATTGGTTGGTGTCTTACCCTAGCGAAGGACTGCTACGTAGAAACAGGTGGTCATATTCTACTTCTGGCTTACTTGTTGTTCTTCACTCTAAAGCAGCCATAGAGAGTGCTTTAGAAAGCATTCACGGAACAAATCACAGTGTTGTCATATTCAGAAGTCAATCATTCTTGGTTAGAAGAAAAAGTACCACAATGAACTATGCTTGGTTAAACTGGGTGGGGAAGAAATACATGATTTTATAGTGACTCAAGTGAAGTTCAGGGCTCATAAATAACTGTCATGCATATTGGGAAGAAAACACTTCAAATTTTGGATGCAGAGAGTACCAATTTCATGCTTTTTATTCCTTAATGTTATATTTGAACATCACAAATTGGAAATCCTATACCCTCAGCAAACGGAGTTGAGTCCTGTCCGTCCTCGATGCTATGTAACCCAGAAATTTCACTGCCATGCTTTGATTTTGTTATTTCCATTAAATATTTGCTCAATATTACTTACCATACCCATGGATATTTGGTATCAGGAAGTCACATTGCAGTTAATTTGTACATCTAACACATTTGAAATCACCTTCTTCATCTCCTTCATTTAGATCACAAATAGATGGGCTTCTGAAGAGCTTGGTTGTGAATTGCAGTTTCTAAAGCCAGGATTTAACTACCACTGGTGCATGTGCTTCGTGCTAATGTTTACAGTACTGATTGCTTCAGAACATACCTTTCTATTAGCAAGTCACAATATTTAGGACAAAACTTACTTTCTGTTACTTTAAATGAAAAATGACATGTAGTGAAAAAGAACGTTTGTGCTCTCTTTCATGTAACAAATGGATTATAAAGGCTGAAAAAGATTGACTCATAAAGAATGAAATCTCAGAACTGCTTCTTTTGTTTTTGTGTGACTCATGATTAACCACTAAGACAAGACTGATTTAGTGGCTAAAGTGATCTCCAGCTATGTTACAGGAGCAGGGCTGTCATGGTCTACAGCCACAAAGGCACAGACCAGAAGATTTAAAAGACAAGAGGGACTGAGAGTGGTCAGAAAGAGACTTCTGAGGAAAGCGTGGGTATCAACAACACAAGTAGCAGGTTCTGACCTAAAACGTCCTGACAGACTTTCACAGTAACTCAGTGCCATATTAATGTTCAGCTAATTGCAGTGGGGGTCAGAGTTTAAAATAAATAAATAAATAAATTAGTTCTTAGTAGTTTCTACGATGACTGTTTTGTGCATCTGATCATCCCATGTAATATTTCTCTATGGCTTAAGCTCAAAGCTGCCCCCGTTGAGTACTGCAACGTGTGTGTGCTAAGATACATGCCTATAAACTTGAGCTGAAGAGAGAATGTATGATTTTTTTAAAATTTGGTTTTACTATTCAGAAGAAATAGATCCCCACGTACTTCTTTTCAGGATCTCATGCTCTCCTTTGAAAATTAGTAAGAAACAGATCCTTTAAATCCTCTCATTACTTTCGTGCTTTGAGGTAATTTCTGAAACATTTACGTGTTGACTAATGGTAGTCAAAAGTTAATCTTTTAGGAGAAGGACTGGCTGCACCCAAATGCCCCCAAAAATTTTTGCATTTAATCCAAGGTCTAGTTTTGGATGAAATTCTGTCTTCTCTGAATTCAGTGAAGTTTTTCCACTGACTTAGTTGAATTGTGATTGTTTTGCCTTTATCATTTAATACCAAAGCAGCTCTTAAGATTTAAAAGGATAACATCAAACAACTGTTTCTTAGGATGGTTGCAACACTAGCAGTAATAATAAACATAGAGATGGAAAAGACGTGAAAGTAGAATAAAATGAAAATAAACACTCTAGTTAAAATTCTGAAATTATAACCCTTTTTATTTTCTTATATCTGTTAAAGAGCTGTAGGCTTTAGGACTGGCTGCACCCAAATGCCCCCAAAAATTTTTGCATTTAATCCAAGGTCTAGTTTTGGATGAAATTCTGTCTTCTCTGAATTCAGTGAAGTTTTTCCACTGACTTAGTTGAATTGTGATTGTTTTGCCTTTATCATTTAATACCAAAGCAGCTCTTAAGATTTAAAAGGATAACATCAAACAACTGTTTCTTAGGATGGTTGCAACACTAGCAGTAATAATAAACATAGAGATGGAAAAGACGTGAAAGTAGAATAAAATGAAAATAAACACTCTAGTTAAAATTCTGAAATTATAACCCTTTTTATTTTCTTATATCTGTTAGAGAGCTGTAGGCTTTGGAAAAAATGTATCTGCTTCTGTTGCTTTGTCACGCTTATGAATTAAGCTGCTTGTATTACAATCCCTCAGAACCATTTTGGGCTTTGTATTTCATTTATATAAAAACCTCATATGGAAAGTGAGCCGCTATCTTTCTAACAATTCAAAAGTATGCTTTTTAATCTTCTTCAAAATTTTTGAAACAGTCATTCTAACTTCATGTCTATAGAACTGCTGAACTAATTCATGTCTCCTTCATTTAGTTTGATCAAGCAGCCGATGCTGAATTTGCCTGGATTGCAGAAACAGAAAAGAAACTGATGTCTCTGGGTGATATTAGGCTTGAGCAAGACCAGACCATGGCTCAGCTACAAGTTCAAAAGGTAAAAGAAATGCATTTCCAACTGTCATGTTAATTATTGGCCGGCACACTCTCCATCTAGAGAATGTACTGGCATGATTTAATTTTCAGTCCATCATAATGCACTTCAAAAATAGTTTTTGCTCCATGTACTCTCTTTTTTTTTTCCTGACCAATTTTTATTGTGTTTCAAGGCTTTTACCATGGAGATTTTGAGGCACAAAGATACTATAGATGAACTTGTTAAATCTGGGGATAAGATTATGAACACGTGCACCGAGGAAGAGAAACAGACCATGAAGGTAAAGTTCCTTAAATTGCAGCTACAGCGGTAGATATGCAGGCAATATATAAGTAGAAGGATTCCTATAGTGTCTTTTTTGAAATACTAATGAAAAAGCATTAATTACAGCCATTTCCAGTCTGAGGATTGTAATGCTAGAAGAAATGGTGTTGTGTATCACTCTCCATCCTTCAGGATGTTCAAAGAGCAAACGCTGTGTGCTTGCTTCATTGCCTGACGCTAATTTGGAGCCCCATTTATCATCTTCATCCATGGTAAATAGTATTTTAGCCCATGGACAAATGAGTGAGTAGGTATTAGTCATCTAGGATGGTGTGTGTGGAATCTGGCTGTTTATCTTCTCCAGTTCTCTTGGGTCAGTGACGCTCTGGGCGTGTGTATTTCTGTGCCAGCTTCAGTGGCTGTGCACCTCAGCGTAAACCTTTACTTTCATTTCTGCTGATTTCAGTGTAGACCTTACTTGCTAAGATTATTCCATCCTTTTGACTAACACAGCCCCTGAAAGGCGTTCTTATGCCTTTGTTTATTACACACACACACAGAGCCTGATGTTGGGGCTGTATATATATGCAGACAGATTTTTCATGTTGGCATTTAAGAATGGGTTAGTTGTGGGGTTGGGTGTTTTTGCTAAATTACAGCGAGGCTGGATATGTTGTGTAAATTTAGTCCTTCCAGTGACCACCCTCCTTGAACAACAATACTTCACTAATCGTGCTCTGCTGCAGAATCTCTGAATAAATTTGATTTGCTCTTAAGTGAATTTAAAATAGATGAGATGTTCTGTCTATGAAACTGTAGTCATAAGGGAGAGCAGTTTTATGTGAGTCTCTATTAAATATTTGTATTTGTCAAAAATCCTGTATATCTGTGTGTTAGGCTATGTTTTGTCCTTTGGATAGCATCTCTATACTTAATTTACATGCAAGACATAACAAATGAAAGGATAGCTTGTTCTGCCAAAAAAGATTCTTTGCTTCACATTCAATGGCTTGCTTATATGTCTAGTTTTTCCAAGGCTAGCATTTATGTGCATTGTCACATACAATATTTCATAATAATGATAACATGGGCAGTCTTCCACAGGAAAAATGTATAGCTAGTTGATACTTTCTTTTATTATCACATGCCCTAATACAGTAGATTTGTAATGTTTAAACCTTGTAGTTCTATCATATTAGTAACATGGCAACACATCTGCATTAATTAATGTATGCTAACCTGGAAAATAATGTTTTGTGGTTTCTGTTGCAAGTTTGTAAGCTACAAACACAACAGTATACCCTATTTTCTTGACAGATTTAAAAGAAACAAAACAGATTTTTGTGTATTTTTCGTGATGCTTTGATTCAGAAATGCTGTGGAAAACTTAGTTTCTGCCAAGTGTCACTGAAGATAAGTGTCTTCAGTAAGGAAGCGGGGTTAAGATCTGCAGTCAAAGCATTTGCAGCTTCACTGGAAGCCCTGTGAATAAAGTGTTATTTGTAAATATCAGTATCATTAAATACATTCTAATTACTTTGAAAGTACTCTGCCAAATTCCGATCTCCTGCAATATTGATTGTCTACCTTAAACACTGACATTGTAGAAATATTATCAAAACTAAAATTTGGTTCACTGTGGTTTGGTGCTATAATTATTAAAGATTGTTTAGAAATGAAGGTAATAGACATGTGGAAAAACATACATTGCTATTTTTTGTTAATATTATTTTACAGAAAAAAATGGAAAGCCTCTTACAGAAATACGATGCAGTCTGTCAAATGAACTCTGAGAGAAACCTCCAGCTGGAACGGGCTCAGTCCCTGGTTAACCAGTTCTGGGAGACTTATGAAGAGCTTTGGCCATGGTTAACTGAAACAGAAATGATCATCTCCCAGCTTCCTGCACCAGCCCTTGAATATGAAACTTTAAAGCAACAACAAGAAGAGCATAGGGTAAGCATTTTGCCAGTTTTGAAAAACAAAGTGTCAAAAGCCAAGTAGTATTCTGCTTAGAACTGTGGAGTACTCTGCTAAATGCTGAAAACCCAGACAGTTATAATTCTGTTGCAAAAATAATTATTTAAAATAATAAAATACAAAATAAATACATTTTCAATCATGCCTCTACTGTTTCCCAAACTGTGTGTGCAAACAAGATTCTCTGGGGAAGGCAGCAAACAATGTATAAGCATAAAAGAGAGCTAAAGGGGAGAAAATTGGCATTGTAGTGAGAGATCTGAGTGCACAAAAGTTAATAGTTAAGAAGTATATTTAAAAGTACACAGTAATGTCAGTATTAGAACAAACCAAACCCATAAACAGAAAGAAGAGGCATGGGATGTTGTAGCAAGAAACAGAAGGTAAAACATGACCATCTGAAGAACTGGAGTACCTGCTGTCAGCATGCTGAAAGTGAAATGCTGCCTTTGTGTACAGTTTGTGTACAAATATGCACATATGTTGATCTTATGTACATGTAAAAAATTTGACTTTTGTTTTGTTGGTATCATTGGAACTAAACTTAGCTGAGCCAGGAAGATGGACGATTAGAGGGCCAAAAACTAATTGCTTGGGTTCCAGCCAATCCCATAATCATTTCTCATGTCAAGTATGTTTGTTATGTAATAAATAAAAGAAATAATTGTTTACCATAACATCACAAAATAGAGGCAACAGTGTTGTAGGCTGGCCACCATATGGGCTTTCTTACATGGAAGAATAATCAGCTGGAATAAAAATTAGTACATTTCATATGCAGCTACTAGTATCACGTGGAATCAGATGAATCCCACCGAAGTTAAAAACCTGCATGTTTTGGCACATGCAAAGCCCGTATGGCTACTGGAGATACATGTCTCTCCCTACTGAGCTTAGAGTAGTTTTTTTTATTTCAGCTGCCTCAATTAAGTGACTCAAGTTAGATAGGATGAACCCTGGCTTCAAAGTCTTGTTTACTCTGAGACCAGTTAATGAAGATGTGCCACTCTTATGTACTGGTAAACACTGGGTTCACTCATTTGTCTTCCTATTATGTCCACAATGAACAAACATGCTCTATTAAGACTAGCTATATAATATGAGCTTTACAAGCTATCTTTATTAGTCACCGTGAACCAAATCATGCTTGCTTTACTTACAGGATTGTTCCCCATCTACTTTGATCATTCTGCTTGCATGAGAGGCCCTTCAGATGAGCTTCTATTTTTGCATTTTTCCTGGGCTATGCCATTAGCTGAGATTTGTTTGTTAAGTAGAAGATTAATGTCAGGCAGTTTTAACACGTAATCTGATCTGAAATACTTGTTTGCTGGAATTGTTTACCCTACAGTAGATCATGGAGAAGACCAAATCATTTATTGTTCTATTAAAAAAAAAAAAGGGAAGAAGGTTCTGAATGTGAATAGAAAACAGTTTTCTATATTCACTTACATTTCTGTTCTGATGTATTTACGGATGACTATCTTTGTTCCAAGTCATGGAATTCATAGAGTTGATTCTGTGTGAATAATGTGCAGTCAGTTTAATTTGAACTGAGCTGTGGACAGAGTACTAGCATAAGGTTTGGTCCTGGAAATGTGCATGCTTGTGGCCTTGTGTCAAATCATCTATTTGTGCACAAAAATAAAACACACAAAATTATTGTCTAAAAACTTTCAAACTGTTCTTAGTTTCACCTTTTCCTCTTCTCTGCTAATCAACATTATTGTTGCAAGGTATACAAATAGAGTTACATTCTCAGTAAATAGCTAGAGTCAGGGGTTTTTGTATTTTCATTGCTGTTTTGTCATCAGGGGACTGTGGAGAGTCATGGTCACTGTCTTTTCAATCTTCTCAACCTCTCCTCTTCTGGGGAGGAGCAAGTAAGCAAGCCAGTATCAGGATTTCTTTTTAAGGGAAGGGCCTTAGTTGAAGAGAAGAGGATTTATTTACACTGAGACTGATATAGGCCCTTTTCTGTGTCTTGATTAATTTAAACAAACTCTGAGCTTGGAGGAACAGAGTATGTGCCTCTCATGTTCCTGCACAGGGGCTACAGGGTAGAAACCTGTGGAGTTCACAGCATTGGGAGGGACAGTGCCTCACAAGACAGTGGGATTTTTCTGAAAAGGGAGGAATGAGCTGAGAATATAAATAAAACTGGAGGGAAGGATCAGGCGACTCCCACAAAAATCCCTTCCCTTTTGTCAGATATGGGTGCAAGTAAACAAAACCAAAATCCTTAGGCAAGTTGGAGGACACCATGTGACCTTTCACTTCCACAAGCCTCTGCACAGTGTTCTGCACAGTTTTGACTTACTTCGGGGGTGGATGATGAGAGGGAGTAGACAGCTGAGATCAAATTTAATTTGCTTATTAATTACTTGTTAAATTTTGTGTCAGTTAAGTAATAGTGCTGTTGTGAAGACAGAGGGGTCTTGTGGCCAGAGGGGAGACTGCTAAACTAGGTTGATAGGTCTCTACTGATTAGTCTTCCTTGTCTTTTTGTCTGTTTCACTGATTTCTTTGACCCTTCCTTGTGCTAGTTTTCTCTTCTTAAATCAAGGATAATTTGAATTAATATTCTTGCAATGCCAGTACCTCTTTCTGTGATGTCCTTCAATGGAAGGCTTTGCAGCAAGTGACAAATACGAACATGAAAAGTGTATATGTGGTGGTGTTATGCACGTCTGGAATATTATTGCTATTTCTGTCATTATAGGTACTAAATATGATGGGGAGTGTCTGTTGCCAGCATCATATGCATAGTTAGCATCTTATATTTTACCTGTAGTCATATACTCTACAAGAGCATTGCACAGACCTTTCCGGTGCATCTCTAGTTGTGATGTTTCACGCCTGGATAGCTCTGTGTTGGAATAGGAGCCATCACTGGCAGAGCAGTCACTAACTTTATTTGATATTATTTGTGCTTTACATTAGGACGAAGGGTATTTGTTTGGAATTTCATGCCAGCTGGATGTGTTAGAAGTGTGGACAGCTGTAATGTGGTGGTGCAAGCATAAGAAACTGATAAGTTGTTTCGTTTGTTATAGCAACTGCGTGAGCTGATCGCTGAGCACAAGCCTCATATAGATAAGATGAACAAAACCGGGCCTCAGTTGCTGGAGCTGAGCCCAGGAGAAGGGTTTTCTATCCAAGAGAAATATGTGGCAGCTGACACCCTTTACGGTAAAATTAAGGAAGATGTCAAAAAGCGAGCACTGGCACTGGATGAAGCCATTTCTCAGTGTACTCAGGTATCAATTTAAGTTTAAAGTATAATTGGATTCATTCAAATGGAAAGATACGCAGACGTTGTCATCTTACATGTATATATCAAGACTAAACTGCTGTTCTAGCTATATTTTTCAACCTAATGGCCTGCGAATGTTCATATCACTGCTTATAGCATTGATTTTTCTGTTTCTCGAGGGGGTTATAATTTTATATATTGGTCAGTATTATGACTGCTGGAGTTGAAAAATGTTACTGCTTCTTAATTTTGAAGTAAAAAAAAAGAACATCTGGTCTAAAAATATGGGATTTTATTTTCACTTTATTCCCTTTTCTTTTGCTAGTCTGTTACTAGCTGATGCTTTGTTTGTATATGGGTGTCACTGTTGATCAGTTAACTTGAGTATAGTTATATGTCAAACTTGGCAGCTTTAGTTACAGTCTGTTACCAGTAGAACTAGAGGGTAGTTTGGCAGTGGTAATAGCATTGGGTCTTTGTTGCAGACCCACAAGAACTTAACGTAACATATGCTTGAACTGTTATGTAAAAGTATTGCGAGCAAAGTTAGACCTCACAAAATGTCATCATAAGCATAAAATTCAGATCAAGTCCATAAAAGCTGCATATCTTAGGTTCATCAGCCTATGCAATGAACCTCGATAGATTATTGTTAGGTATCACATTCTAGAGACTTTTAAATATTAGGTTAATTGTCATTAAACCCAAATTGAAATTCTTTTACTCAATTCCAAATTCAGAAAAGAACTCAGGAAAACTGTGTACATGAACCCGTACAAAAATCTGAATAAAAATACTTTGTTCTATACTGCTGGTTTTATAGGAAATTCCCCTTTTTCTCTGTTTGCTGGAAATTAAGTGCTATATTCTGCTCAGGTCTAAAATACTAAATAAAGTAATACACCTTCAAGTTCTCATCAAGTCTATATTCTACGTATTTTTTGTCATAGGCCATTGTACCTAATGTCATATTCCTAGCCCCTGCAGACTGAGTTTAAGAAGCTAAGGAAAAAAGTGACGTCAGATATCATCCTGCTTTTGAACTGGTTATAGACATGATATTATACTTTAACTCATTCTAAACACCTTCCTTATTCACACCTCTGAAAGATGCCTGATTATTTAGAGTCAATGTTTTTCTTTATCATAAATGCTCAGTCCTCCCCCTGTTTGGAGCTGCACATTTGAAAATCAAGATATTTACTTAGCATTCAAGTCCCTGCTTTGTATGTGATAGACATTAACATGTTGTACTGGCTAAGTACAGAAAGCGAGAATAAAAATGCATTCGTTGGTAACAACTAGAATATAATCAGATGTTGAGAAAATAATTATCTATGCAGTACTTTAAGGTTCATTTTATATATGTAAATGTATATGCAGATGGCAAAGCAAAACATTTTAACACCCAGAATGTAATTTTATATAATCTCCTTTTTTTTATTAAGGTACATAAATATATATTATCAGGGCTCTGTACTATGATGGCTGTGTCAATGTTTGTCTAGACAGTCCTGGAAGAATAATTATTTAACTCTTCAGGTTTTAAATTATATTAAATTGCATTATGTATCAAAGGCACGACATAACCTATGGAGCCAGAATGAGAGGTTATAATGACTTGCATTTTCTTCCTTTTAAGTTCTAAAACACCTTGTCTCATTATACAAGTACAAGGAAGCCCACTGAATGCACTGACAATTTTAAAATGTAATATATGTGTCCTAAAATTAGACATGAATATTGCCAATTTAATTTCAGGTTTTATCACTTTCGTAAGGTTTTGTTGGCACAATCAGTTTTTCAGAAGTCTTGAACGTGGGAAGGCTACTTATCTTTCATAACACATTTTGCTGGCTTGTATGATATTCACACTTCTAACAAAAACACTGAGTCCATAACATTAGTCACAGAGTGTGATTTGAAGTGGGTTGTGTGGTGGGAAAAAGTAATTACATTTGTATTGCCTATATTCCTTTGAATAGAAAGGATGTAGCTATTTGTTCGCATAAGGTAATCTTGTTTTGCTGTGCTCTTTCTAGCACCATTCCCAAGTGTAGTCAAGAGTGCTTTTTGTAGATCCTGGAGGATCATTAAATGCACCCACAATTTATTGATTTCTGTAATTTGAAAGGGGCATGGTGATGAGATATTTTTAGGAATCTCTATGGATCCAAAAGCATACGGTAAAGGCTAACTTTGGCCTTGCACCAAAGGATGGACCATGTTAACATAGCTGTAATTGAGCTTCTGGGCACTTACCTGGGCTCAGTCAAATGTGGGTGAACATAATACACACTGTTGTGTGCTTTTAGTTGCAGAAAGTAACGTACTTTTACTGCACTAACAAGCATCACCTGGGCACTAACAAATGTCTTTTTGAATGACCTTACATATCAAATCTTAATGAGTGGTTATATGCCAGTATGGTGGTCCTGATATGAAAATGTATGTATTTAATATTAAGGTAAATATCTTTCTAAAATGTTGAAGTCAGAAAGCCATGGCTCTCCAAAATAAGGTACAAACTACTGTATGAATTATGCAGGACTAAATGCAAGTAGATTCTGCCATATATATAGTATCTTCAGGTGGAGTGTCTCAGGACTGAACCCAGACTTCATAGTAAAATTCTTAAATCTGAGAGGAAGTACCATTTTGCAAGGTAATTTTTGTAATTTAGATACTAAAAGAGGGGAAGAACCACGAAAGGGGGTATTGCAAGTTGCACATACATATGTTTGATAGCGATGTAAAATATGTTAATTTTAAAGAACCTTGCCCAAGAGAATTTCAGATGCCGTTTTTCCATTGTTTTTTCCTAATTTCTCTGCCAATTCTTTCTGTCCTTTACCACCCTCCCAGTTTCATGACAAGATAGATCCAACTCTTGAGAGTCTGAAGCGCATAGTTGAACGTCTGAGGCAGCCACCTTCGATCTCAGCAGAGGTTGAGAAGATTAAAGAGCAAATCAGTGAAAATAAGAATGTGTCAGTGGATCTGGAAAAACTTCAGCCTGTGTATGAGACACTTAAACAGAGAGGAGAGGAAATGATTGCTCGCTCAGAAGGAGCTGATAAGGATATATCTGCTAAAGGTAGTAGATTGAGGAAAGTTTTATGTAGTGGAAATGCAGCAAGCTGCAGCATATAAAAATCTTCATTTCTGATGACCACTAATCTGGGGATGGTGTTCTCCTGGAGAAGCTGCTAAAGATTTATAAAAGCAAAGCATTCGTTTAAAATAATTCATCATGGATATGACCTTTGTTTTATTTTTAAAGGCTGTGTTGGTTGTTTCCACTTAACATTATAAGGAGTCCTGTAAAGAAACAATTTTAGAGTCTAAATTTTAAAATGTACACATATGTTTCTGCTGTAGAACTGTAGAGAGATTTATGGCCAAGAATTGTTTGCCAAGGTAGTAATCTAGTTCCTTTGTTGTTTAGCTGTTCAAGATAAACTAGACCAAATGGTCCTCATTTGGGAAGACATCCAGACCTTGACCGAGGAAAGGGAGGCCAAATTGTTGGATGTAATGGAACTAGCCGAAAAGTTTTGGTGTGATCATATGGCTCTTGTAGCTACTATTAAAGATACTCAGGACTTCATTCGAGAACTGGAGGGACCTGGAGTTGACCCATCTGTAGTCAAGCAACAGCAAGAAGCTGCTGAGGTCAGTAGAAAGTATTTTGTTGACTTGAAGTATTTTATTTACAGTATGCAGAGAAAAGACAGAATTACTATGAAATAACCACAGGAGAATATTTTTTTTTTTTTTTTTTTAAGAGACCAAGAGGGATAATTGTATAGAAATTTACTATAATGATATATCAAGAGTCTATGGTAAATAACATATATCAGTGCTTAATTGCAATGAGCATGCAACGTGTGCCTGTCATTATATTTACATATCTGTTTCTAAACATGTATATAATAAGCATGTCACTGAGACTTTTTAAAAGTTATACATACTTTATACATACTTTAGATTCCCTGAGTAATACGTAGCAACTAAATGAAAGGTGTACAGATGTATTATGCTCTAAGCCTGTAATTATTTATGCTGATAGTTAAAGATTTGAAGGTTGAATGATAACCTCTGAAAAAGAAAATACTGTGATTAAAGAAGTCTAATTTAAAACTTCCTGTTTATTTTTTGCATCTTATGCAAAATGACATCATAAACCATTGGTATAATTTAGATTGATGTCAGTTTTCTGACAGATTTCACTCTGACACTGCAAAGGGATGCTTATATTTTAAGCATCCAGTTCCAAGTCCAAGTGACTTTAAAGAAAACAAAGGTCGAATCCTGCCATGTTCTATCTTGAAAGGAAGCTCTACATAGATTATTAAATTTAGTATTAGCAGCGTTGGATTTTTTTCTCTTTGTAGGCTGCTAAAGAAGAAATTGATGGACTGCAAGAAGAACTAGAAACAGTTGTGAGCCTTGGCTCTGAACTTAGAGCTGCTTGTGGAGAGCCTGACAAACCTATTGTCAACAAGAGTATAGATGAGGTATGGGAAACACAGATGCTTAAATCTGTTATGTTAGATGCTTATTCAACTGAAATTGGTATTTCACACCTGCCCCCAAAAAATTTGGAAATAAAAATTTTGTGGCAAAAGTAAGATAATCCCTGAAGCCTTTGTGTTAAAGTAGGGTTTGCTTTTCAGGTAAACAAATCTTGACTCAGATTAGTTTAAAATGTACAGACAATTTTATTTTATTGATTTACGGGTTAAAATTTTTGTAAAAGAAAGGTTTTTTTGTAAAAATGCTCACTGATTAATACAATAGATGGCTACTTTTTGCAAAAGTAATGCTAGAATAAATTTCAGATATATCTGGTTTGTGCCAAGTGAGACATCTTAACTAAGACAATCCTGTTTGGATGACTACAGAGTAGTCATATATAAGTATATATAAGTAATATTCTGACTTAAGTACTTTTAATTTCTCTAATGTTCAGCAATGTACGTTTCTTTTAAGCTACCTTTTTTATAATGATGCAACTCCAAATGATTTAATAATAGTATTTGCTGTATTAACTGTGATCCCTATGTTAATAAAAATATTCAGTAATCAGTATTGAAGTTTACAGCTTTTGTAATCCAGAACCTATAGTATATTCTGAAGGAAACTAACTATGGAATGATAGGGAGAACAAGAGTGTTAATACGGAATGAATATGAACTATCCATGCTTAGTTTATTGGTGTTACTGATCAGTGAATAATTAGTGAATGCATATTATACAGCAGTAAAATTCTTCTGTCCATTGGAGTAAATTGCACTTACTTGCAGCTGAATTCTGCCTGGGATGCCTTAAACAAAACATGGAAAGAACGGGTGGATAAGCTTGTTGAAGCTATGCAGGCAGCTGTTCAATACCAAGATGGACTGCAGGTAAGATGGTGTGATATACCTAACCCAATCTTGAGTCAATAGGATTTGATGTGGTTGTAGTAAAAAACGTCATGTGATTGGGTAGGTGACAAGTAATGTATCACTCTGATTATAGTGACTGTTTTCTTCAGTAGGCAGATATTTTTCCTCAGGGTTGGTTGGGTTTTGGTTGGTTTGGGTTTTTTTTTTTTTTTGCATTAAAGAATAAATCTATTTGGGTTGTTTTCTTCATGTAGTTGTTCATATATTGCACTGTGTTTAGAGTCAAAATTAATGTCCCCTTGGTTATTGATAAGAGCAGAGGTTTTTTGATAGCCCACAAATTCACAGTAATCCTGCTCCCATTTTCTTGTGATAGTTGGTACTTCATGTGATAGGCGAGTTGAAGTTGTGACACATTTACATGATCTGAACGGAACAGAATACAGGTCCATATACTCACTTGCTGCTGTTTTCTTTGAGTGGAGGACAGTGAAAGAACTTCAATTTTATTTCACCTTTTTTATAAGTCAAATATTTAAGTTTGAATATTTTAAGCAAAAAATATTATTAACATAATGTTGCTGGACCATTATACTAATTCTTAGTATAATTTATCCAATCACCATAGTTTAGAAGATTATTCATTTTTTAAATCTCTAGGTAAATTTTCCAGCAGTTTTTTTTAAGATATCTTTTCTCTGTGTGCACTAGTTCTTGGTTTTGGGGTGGGTTTTTTTGCATATTCTTTGCACATTTTGGCTGAGTGGCATGCCTCATATCTTTTGTCAGTGAATGGCTAGAAGATTGAAACTTTTGAAAAGATTCCAAACGTAGTCAAATTTTGCAAAATTATTTTTTTGCTCAGTGGAATTAGTGTCTTGGTTCATTAAATCTTTAAAATTAGAGTTTCACATGACACTGAGGGCAGTTGCTTGTGTGTTCAGCGCAGATCAAGCAGCAGAACAGTCCTTAATAATACTGCAACATGCTTGTTTTCCAGTGCATCCTCACTATGTATTTTTCTCCAGGTTCTCTTATGTTCATACTGTGCAGAGGTTGACTTGTAGGGTTACACTAGGAACATTGCCGTTGGTTTAAGTGCTTTGTATTTCCTGTGGCTGTACATTGTACATCCTACAAGCTTGGTACTTTGTGAAAGAACTGTATTTAAATGCCTTCTTATGCTCATTTCAATAGACAATATGAAAAGTATTGTGGGCAGATTGTTAGCTGCAGCTGCCTCATCCTGTTCAGCTTGTTGGGGGTAGTTCTCCTTTTCTCAAGGAGCTGTGTAGCAGTGGGCAGCTCTGACAATCCGTCCTAAGCCTTTCTCCATAATGAATCACAGATAATGGGCAGGAGGAAAAGGGCCTAGCAGAGGTGTTTTTTCCCCTATGCAATTACCCAGATTGATATAGCTGTTCTTAATCTGTAAGTGGAGTATTCTTGAGGTTGTTCTGCATTATATCAGGAGCAAAAGAAGTACCCACAAAGCCTCAGAACTGGGGAGACTTCATTTGTTTTTTGAAGTTACAACTGCATTATCCTACGGAGATTCAGTCAAGCTCAGTTACAGCCCTTCACTGTCTAATATGCACTGAATGGGTCGTGTTCCATGCTCCTTACACAGATAACATTATCCTTCAAAAGAAGTTTGTTTGTAATCATCATTTAAAGTGTGTTACCATTCAGCTACCGCCTTCCATCTTTGCTCCAAAGGACTGCAGAACAGAGTTTGTCTTGTATTTACCTTTCAGGGTATTCACAAAAATTGCTGATTTTACTCAGAAAGTAGAGTACTACTCAGCATGAATAGTACTGGCAGAATATTACTGCTAATAGAAGTTCAGTCTTGCAGCATGTACATTCTCGTAACCTTTACATGGAGTATTTGATCCCTTGTATTGCAAAGAAACCTAGGTTTCACTGAAGAAAGCTATTTTCTTTTGAAGAGCACAGCAATATTGTTCTCTGGAATAAAAAAAAAAATTCTGATATTTTACTTAATACGACTTTCAAATATGATACTATTTCTCTGCTCACACTTCAATTTCATACTGTGATTTTCAGGCAATATTTGACTGGGTAGACATTGCTGGCAGCAAGTTAGCATCTATGTCCCCAGTTGGAACAGATCTGGAGACAGTGAAGCAGCAAACCGAGGAACTTAAGGTATGAACTAGCAATTTATTTCATTTATATGTTCATCTGTCTGCATTTTTCTGTGTTGTTTAGTATTTTTCTGTATTTTTCAAGAGTCAAAAGCAATTTTAATTTTCAATTTTTAATAAAAAAAATCTGTATGAAAATTTCAGATAACATTTCATTGCAAACTTTTCATTTTAAAATGTGTTTCATTTTAAAATCTATTCCAAATTTTGGTGAGACTACGTTTTATTTTGTGAATATGTTCTGATAGTCCAGAAATACTTGTAATAGCATTCCTTCTCTTTCAGAGGCTATGAGGTTATTATGTACAGGGTTCTTTTGCTATGACTTTTATGTTTTCTGGTTTCTACCATGAACAGCTTCCTTGAGGCTCTGAGAGAATGCCTCCAAAGCTTCACTTCTGCCATTATAGGCTTTATCTAAATGCTCACACAGATCACAACATTCCCAATACATGAGTAAGCTGAAAATCAAAATTTCAGGCTAACTTAGAAACCTGTCTGTATGGATCTGTAACTGAGTATGCTCCTGATGTTGGTAGGCTGTTATGCTATATATAAAAAACAGGGATTTATAATTATCAGGGAATGTCCTTGGTTTTGTTGCTCACTTGTACTTTTTTTTGCTGTGGGCAGGTTGTTTATCTATTTTATGATGTAACTTCAAATGAACCATAATCTTACATAGTTCAGAAGAACACACATGAGTTGTATTCAGACTGCTGCCCAAGTTGCATGTGCAGGAGAGGGTGTTCTACTAAAGAAAATTTGCTTTCAGCTCTTTTGAAGAATAATTCTATTTGAAGTTTAAAGTCTTATATTATCACAACCACAAGAGCTAGAAGTTACTCAAGATATGTTCTGCCTTTTTTACAGACCAGGGAGATCATTGGAGAATACTTTCCTATTGGGCATCTTTATCATCCTCTGGTCACAGTTAGCAATATCTGCTAGAATAGTAAGACATTGTTGCATATTTTCAGTTAGCTGGGACTGTCTGGATTATCAGTGTGTTACAAGCATTTTGACCCTGAAAAACAAACCCCCAAATTTATGAAAGTTGACAGTGATGCGTTAGTATTGTAAATATTGATGTACTATGCTATATTCAAGAAGATCATTACTTGTGATATGTTTATTTGTATTCTTTTTGTATTTACCGCAGCAATTTAAGACAGAAGCTTACCAGCAGCAGATAGAAATGGAAAGACTGAACCATCAGGCAGAACTATTGCTGAAGAAGGTAACAGAGGAGAGTGATAAGCACGCTGTTCAAGATCCTCTCTCAGAGCTCAAACTAATGTGGGACAGCCTAGAAGAAAAAATTATAAATAGACAGGTAAATAATCTTGAAGGTGGGGGCTTTATTCATGACTTAGATTTTTGAGAAAAGCTTTTTATGATGTACAATGTTTGTATCAATTTACACATTCCTTTTAGTTTGGAAATTACAGAACTTGAATTTTACAATTTATTGAGTTGCTTTTATGGTTTTTAAACCCTTAGCAGTATTTTTTGTCACTTCCTCTGTCAGCAGTACCAGGTCGAATGATTATTATTTCATTTTGGTTATTTGATGACATCTTAAGTAGCAGTTGATAACATGTTTATATGTGCAAAAGTAGTATTAGCAGCTGAACTGAGCACTTTAAAAAAAAAACAAACAAAAAAACCCCAACAACTTAACTGTTTCAGTGCTCTTTCCGTAAATTATCAAAGTGAAAGAGAGAATTAAAGATGCAGTGCATTGAAGTGTTTTTTTTTTCTAAATGGAATCATTTCACAACAAAGAAAAGGTTTTAAAAAGGTCATGCACCAAATTGCATTTATATTGAAATTATGTTTTCAGTGATGAAAAACTACTGTCATATCTCTGATGAGTGAACCTTCGAACTTAACTCTGCTCTGGTTACATGGGGTCTTCGAAGGTCAGGAATTTAAGCCTGGAATGTAAGGCTTTACAGGGGAATTGCTAACTCAGCTCTAACTGTAAAGCAGTTGCTTGTGTTGGATAACTGTTTCTCCCTGGTTTTTATGCTATCATATGCATGGACTCTGCTCTGGATTATGGTGACTAATGGTAATATAAGCCAATTCAATAGTGTTGTGAAACCATTTTATTGTTAATTTTATTTTTTCTATAGCACAAGCTGGAAGGTGCCTTGTTAGCCTTGGGGCAGTTCCAGCATGCCCTGGATGAGTTACTGACGTGGCTGACGCATACAGAAGACTTGCTGAATGAACAGAAACCTGTGGGTGGAGACCCCAAGGCTATTGAAATTGAACTTGCCAAACATCATGTATGTAATTATAATGAATATTAACTGAAATGTTCTTTTGATGTTTATCTTAGTGATGAGTCTTGTAGTGAAACTTAGCACTTGATAAATAATTCTCTGTAGAGATTTTTGAGATGCAGATTATAGCTGAAATGAAGGCTTGGAATAACTAATATCTTTCCTCTTACTCCTCCATATTCCTTCCTTCCTTGCATATGCCATGCAAGTGGCATAGGTTTTAGCCAAAAAGAGCAGCTCGCCCTAGTCTCCACCTTTATTCACCTTAATTTGACCCAGGGAACTCAAAAGTTATTGAACGTGCTAGTCTCCCTGAAGCAATAAACTCCTTGATTAGTTCTGTTTAGGCCAGGTCTCACAAAATGCACGTACCCATTACACATCTTTCGTTCTTGTTTCTTCCTTCTCAGAAAATAGTGATTTGTTGTTTGAATTCTGCAAAATCATATCTCAGTTGGGTCCAACTAACACGAAGAATGCGTCTCTGAAAATCTCAGCAAACTTTAGGAGTATCCATGCCGCCATCGTTTTCTCTTTGTTACGTGCAATGTAGGGCTAATTTTTTTACTTTTTTTTTTTTAAAGTATTTTTACTGATTATTGTGACTTTGGAGTCCATTGTGCCTTTATTTTGAAGAGTATCTTCCAGGAGCAAGAGATCTTCTCTACCTCTTTGTGTGACTCGATGCTGTTCATGATGATGTGTTCTTTCTAGGCCTGAAGATTTCAAACTAACCTTATAAATCCTCTCCTTTCCTTTAAATCTGCCATTTAATTTTTGGCCTGCATATGATGTGAAAAGTATTCAGAGTCCATTTTGGATTTAGGGAGAAGTGATTGAAATTGACAGTACACAGATAATTAAGGCATTTTCATTGTTTGTGGTAATGCAGCTATGCAGCTTCTGAAGCCTTTTGTGTGGTCAGTTGGAGCTTAAGCGGAGTAAAATATCTACGTGCCCTGTGTGACTACTGTTAGGAACAGGCCCTTTTAAAAAAAAAAAAAACAAAAAAACAAAACCAAAAACCAACTGCATATCCAGCTTCCACTCCATGAACCTTTTATATTCTTATCAAACGGAAGTGTTTTACTACTGAAGAAGCATCCAGACATCGTTTATGACTTCATCTACCTTCAGTGCTGAAGGAGTTCAGCAAACACATGAACGAATCTACTTCCTTTTCATAAAACGGAGTTTATAGGTTAGAAAGTTCACACAGTAGTACATCCTGTGGTAGCCTGGAAAAACATCGATCTCTTGAGTAACTTTGGAAAGAATAGACCTTGCTGAGTGAGCCTCAGCAGGAAGGAAGGGATAAGATGCATCTGCTTCTGTGAATATCCCTTTTTTTTGCCCTGTTAGAGAAATAAAATAAATAGTATCTTCCAGTGCTTAGCTTAGAAGAATGAAAGCAAATGTGATGCACGTTTTGTATACAAGGGCTACTTGTGACTTGCTGTTTCATCAAGTGCTCTGTATAGTTTATTTAAAAGTTTCTTTGTATTTAGCTTTTGTATTTTTTCCATACGCTAGCATTTTGAGGGAGGTGAGTTTGAAACAGGCTCCATGGAAGACAGCAGTCATAAACATGAATTTCTTAGATGGGGTTTACCATTCCCTTCCCAACCATTTTGCATATTCTCTTTTTCTGTTCTTTATTTCTGGTATTTTAAAGCGCCTTTTTTTTTTTTAAAAAAAAAATCTTTCTGAAAACAGCATCCTTTTCCCAAATGTACTTTTTGCATTTTATGGTTTTACTGTGGTTGGTGATAACAGGTTTTCAATGAGATGGAAGAGGTCTTGTGGTGTTAGTATTACAGTCATTCCCCAGCTTTTAGCACAGCTGAAGTGTCCTGGTAGCCTGACGTAACATGAAATGAGTTGTAGACCTGAAATGCATGAAAAGATGTCGTGGCAGTCAGATTGTTATATGGCACAGCAGGCACATAGCATTCTTGTTCCTCTCCCTCCTCTCTTCTTAGACTACTGCTCCACAAGCAATTGGCACTACTATACATAACACTGTTTTCACACCTTGCCCTCAAAACCAAAGAAAAATCCTATTAAAGAAAAGTATGTAGTAAATTAAGGAAAATGAAGAAATAATTCTTCACTAGCAGTACCAGAAACCTTACATATATTTCTTTCTGAAATTATGAATTCAGAACGAATATATTATTTTTTCCAAGATATAAAAACAAAACATAGCATTTTGGCAGAATGGTCTGTTACTGCTTTTGATTGAAGAGATCTTAGTTATTAGCTTTAATTGCTAATACCTGTGCTGATGTTAAACTATTGCCTTGTCACTGGATTAGAACTAGCTCAGTCACTGTAATTGCCTTCATTCAATAACTTATCAACATGGCCAGTCATACGTACTGTGTTACACTTGTAGGTGCTACAAAATGATGTTTTAGCTCATCAGTCTACGGTGGAAGCAGTTAAGAAAGCAGGAAATGACCTGATTGAATCAAGTGCTGTTGAAGAAGCAAGTAATTTACGGAGCAAGTTGGAACTTCTGAATCAGCGCTGGCAAAACGTGTTGGAAAAAACAGAACAAAGGAAACAGCAGCTGGACAGTGCCTTGATCCAGGTGAACAGGAAATGATCAAATAAAGAGATAACTCAGAAAAAGTGTCTCTTTACATGAAATACATAGATACATGTATTAGAAGTTGGCCTAAATCAAAACCATAACGCAGACATTCCTGAATTTGGAGAAAGTTTGAATCCAGCTGTATCTTCCACAGCTGGCCACTGTCTTTTATAGTGCTGAATCAAGACTTCAGCTTTTGGCCTACATATTTTAAAAGGGTGAAATTTCTGTATAGGTATATTATTCAGGGAAAACATTGATCTCACAGTTGCTCATTTAGCCTGCTTTCAAGATTTCCATGGTTTTTGGTTTTGTTTTTATCATTTAGATTGGATTGAGCTAGTTTAAATTTTGGTTTGTTTTGTGTTTTTCCTTTGTTTTTTTTCCCTTTCATTTCCTTTGATTATTGCAAATATCTGATTAAATCTGTTGCCAGTATATTTCTGCATCTGAGCTAGTATTAGAATGGAGAACATTTAAGTAAGCTCTAAAATGACATGGTATAATTTAGGCCCAAGGTTTCCATGGTGAAGTTGAAGATATGCAGCAATGGCTGACAGACACTGAACGTCAGCTGTTGGCATCAAAACCTGTTGGAGGCTTACCAGAAACAGCGAGAGAGCAGCTCAATACCCATATGGTAAGTATCAGTATTAGAATGCTTTGCAAATTGCATTTCAGAACTAACTATCTTTCAAGAGCGTTTATGGTAAATACAGATCATGTTCTGTATATCACGATGTCTGTATAGTATCTTAAAAAATTTTAATAGCCTTCAAAACAACACTGTTATTTTCAGTGTAGGAAAAGTAGTCACTTGGGAGATGCCCAAAGCTAAACCATTAATAGTGTTGAGACAGAAATAAAAGAACTTTTGCATCCTTATTCTCAGAAAGAAAAACAGAAAGTGTTTGCAGATTTTTCAGTGATTCCTATTCTTCTTTTCTAATCTGTCCCCATAACTACATTTATGCTTTTTCTAAGATAGGAAGATGAATCTAAAAGTGATCCACATTCATTGGACCTTGAATTCAGAGACTCGATCCTTTCTTCTTTATCTAACCGAAGCTTACATTAAAGTCATCATTAGCACAGATGTAATAAGGACTACTGGCTCATATAGAGACTCTGCTTTAATTAGAAATGGCAAGCTGATCAGGATGCCTGAATTATTCCCTTCCTTCCCTTCCTTTCTCGTTAAGAAGCATTATATGGATTTCTCTGCCCCTGTAGAACCACAGAGCTTAAAAAAAGACACTTAAATTTGATCTCTTACCTGAAAGGAAGGTGGTTCATAGTGCTCCATTTATGTAAAATCATGCTGTGCTGTTAGGCCAGGATATAAGCCCAAAGCCAGTGATCGAAACTCCTGACCTCCTGGCTCAGATGTAAGAGTGATATTTACTGAACTGTCCTTGAACTCGAATATGCCTAACAGAGTTTCCATTAGAACGCTGCATTGTCATAGCTTTAAAAATCAGATTTTATTTTGGAATGATGCTAAAGGTCCACCAATGTGGGGCACTTTTTTTCCTTCTTTTTTTCCTCCAAAATTTACCAGTAACTATTTTTGAGAAGGAAAATAACTGATTTTAAAACTGTAAATTATGACAGGAAACTAGGACATAACACAGAAACAACTTTGTGGTTTTGAACTCCCCAAATCCTCTTTTTGTCTTAAAGAAGAAAGGCCAAAAAAAGCCTTTATTTTTGGTGGTTTTTTTTTTTTCCTGTGAGGGTGGGACGTAATCACGATTCCATGAGAGTCAGTGGAGCTCTTTCCATTTTTCATCCTGGACTTAAAATCAGATCAAGACCAAAAAATTTTCCCTGGAAAATTTCAGGGTTTTCTTTGGTACATTCTTTCAACTATGTGAATTTTCTATACTTACTGCACTTACAGATTGATTACTTAAAGAATCTTTAAACTGAATGTAGTATTATAGTTGGAACAAATGTGAATGTGTCCCCAGTAATATATACTCTATATGTACAATCATTTCCTAACTGTATGTGTACATTTTAACAGATTATTGCTATGTTGTGGGCCATCATATAACTGCAGGCATTGACTTGTTATCCTTTAATGTATATAACCCTTAAAAAAAAAGGACTTTATTTCAGTTTAATTAAACCTCAGTGCATCTGTGCAGATATGTGTAAATTACCTCTTTTTTTTTTTCTTTTGGCAGCTGAAATATTGAGGCCACTTGTCATGTTGACTGCTATTTATTCTAAGTTCCAAATTCAAACTTGCCCCTAAGTGATACAAACCATGTTAATTTGTGATGTGTAACTGAAGAAGAAAGTTTCGCACTATATTTTAATTTGTTTCTCATTGGAAATAATGTTATTAACCACCTTCTTGAGTATAAGGTCTGTTTCTAGAGATATGAATAAAAGAGCCCTCAACCATAATCAGTTCACAAATGGAGTTGAGATTGGGCAGCATTTCCAGCTAAGGAAGCTCCAGGAAAACAAAAGATACGAAGAGACATTACAGGACACCAGCAGGAAAGGGGCTTAAAAAGAGGCCTCTTTGGCTGTCCCAGTGCTGCTCAGAACATCCCTCTCCTTTTCTTAAAAAAATATTTTTTCTCAGTTCCTCCTTTAAAATAACTTTAATTGCTCCTGCCCTCTTAAGAGTGTGACTGTACTGCAGAATTAACCACTGTGATGAGCCCCTGTCTTAGACTGAGCCCAGCCCCAGTGTTTGGGGTCACTCCTGCCGTGTCTCACCTGTGCTGCGCTCCCTGTGTTTACTTCTGAGGAATTCTTGTGCTGCAGTAAAATAAGATGCTCTGGGGAGTTACGGAAACCAGAAGTATTGTAGGGAGGTTGGGAGTGTAGGAGGAAGCAGGCTAGGTGACACCACTTCTCATAGTCATAAAGCAAGGAAGCTTTCTGTTGTGTTAAAACCTTAGCTCATGGTTGAACCTGCTTCCTGCTTTGCCCTCCTCTGTAATGAGGTACAACCCTGTGTACAGTATCTCTTAACGCAAAGAAAATGTTGGGTTTGGGCTCTTGTCCTGGGAATCAGAGGAGAAAGTTCTTTTCCTCCTGTTTGCAAGACACTTATTGCTAATCTCCTGGAAGATGTTCCTCATTTGGGACTCTGCAGCAACTTCGTTGGTACATCTTGGATGGTCTATTACAAATATTGAACATGCCCTTTTGCGTCAGAGGGATGCATGGGAGCTCCTGGTCTCTTGCCACCTCATCTTTAACATGGTTAAAAAAGAATAGTTAGTAGAATAGTTACCAGGTAAAACAGTTGGTACTGTTATTCTTCCAGCTTTCTTTGTATGTGTAAAATGTCTTCAGTGCTCTTGCCTAGTGAGTGAAGGAAGATAAAGACAAAACAAAAGAGACAATGTACAATAAACCAGCCCTCCTAAGTTGTCCCACCCACTTTTGAAGGTGTATTGGATAGGTCTGGGCTTTCAGCGCACTGTATAATGCTGACACTTTTTGTGTTTCAGCTACAGATGGACTTTAAACCAACCAAGTTGTAGCAAATCTGGTGCAATAAGTGCATAGTACTTTCTTTGCCAAGCTTTGGATCTCAGAGAAAACATCTGACAGACAATACAAGTTCTCATTTCCTGAAGAATTGGGCCCTTTCTTTGCTCATTTGGCCTTTTTATTAATTACATATGTTTCCTTTATTAGTCTTAATCATACCCGCTAAATGTTGGGGGAGGAATAAATATTATACTAGCATTTGTAAAGAGTATTGAATTTCTACCTGACTTATTTTTTGGTGCTTTCTTTATTTAGGAACTTTGTGCTGCCTTTGAAGCCAAAGAGGAGACATATAAGTGTTTAATGCAGAAAGGCCAGCAGATGCTTGCAAGATGCCCAGAGTCTGCTGAAACAAACGTTGAGCAGGACATAAATAACTTAAAAGAAAAATGGGAATCAGTACAAACAAAGCTCAGTGAAAGAAAAGTATGTGTTTTTACGTAAAAATAGAAGTGTAAATCATGTATTTAAGGATGTTAATGTTCAGTGCTTTTATGCATGCATACTTGCTTGATCTTTTAGATTTAAAATAAATTGTAGAGACAGTTATGCAGAATTCATTGGTATGTTTAGAAAGTACCGGTCAAAAAAGGGATTCAAGAAGTTGATTATCCATAATTGGGGGGAGGATGGGTGAGAATGGCACAAGTCTGTTCCATAGAAATACGTGAACTGATACTGATAATGCTCATTTGGTAGGATGAGGGCTTTTCTGGTTTTTATTACAGTAATCGTAGACATGAGAGAGTGAATAAAATTATTTGATCATTCAGGTTTATCTCCTCAGTACAGAATTGCTGCATTAATTTTCCTAGCTTTTATCCTTTTTTTTTCTTAAAATTCCCAAATGCTTGGCCTTCTGCCACTTACTTCAAGTGACTACCTTCTGTTCTAATGTAGATCAATGATTTCACTGATACGCAACATACGTTTTCTTATTATTAATTTCATTTTGCTTTCATTCCTTCACGAAGTGTAGTCCATTTGTTCTACCTCCATCAAACAATGAAGAATATCAATAATTACAAGCAGAGGAACTCTCTGTGCAGCCCTGATATGTATAAAGCACAAATATTTAACTCATTACTTAGTTATATTTTAAAGTAAGAATGCTGGTGTCTCTTAAGGTAACTGTATAATGTAAGAACGTCAAACTAATTAATACCCAACATGAGCACCTTCTTGCAGGAAGCTGTAAGGTTGGAGCGCTCAGCTGGGCCAGCAGTGTGATTGTTTGAAAATCTCTGACTGCTGTCTTATGACCAACAAAAATTCTGTATCCAAAATTAGTCTCGGTTCAGGCAACCAAAATGACAATTGGGCTTTATTAAAAAGAAGTGGTCTAGGCAAACTTGTTCTTTGTTTAGTGCAAAAGAATAAATTAGATGACCTCTTTGAGGCTCTTTCAAATGCACTGCCACCTTAGATTTCTGAGATTCTACTGATTTTGTATTGAAATTGATAAATCCATATGTCCCATTAGGATTAAGTAGTAGAAGATGTAATGTTCTAATGTGGAAAATTTTATCTTTGTACTAGGTGCTGTATTTTCTACTCACCTATCATACATAATTCTACTGTTACTCTTCTGTCCATCTCCTTTAATATGCTCAAATGTAGGCTGTGCTTTTAAACCTCAGAAACTGAGTTGGAAAAATGTTTTAAAATGCTAAACTAAAATGGTTTACTCCAAAATGCTGAACTAAAATGGTTTACTTGGCTGAAGCCCCTGCACAATATCAACTGCTATTAAAGTATGACGTATCTTTACAGACCAAACTGGAAGAAGCCCTCAATTTAGCAATGGAGTTCCACAACTCACTTCAAGATTTCATCAATTGGCTTACTCAGGCTGAGCAAACTCTAACTGCAGCTTCTCGGCCAAGTCTTATCTTGGACACGGTCTTGTTTCAAATTGATGAACACAAGGTATGTAAAGAAACAGATGTGTAATGTTTTTCTCCCACTCTGTGGAGATACTTTAACAATGTCCAAATGAACCCTGTAACACTGGCACTCAGAGAAACATTTAATTTGTTTTAAAATTGCATTTTATAGTCTTTCTTGCTACATCATTCTTTATCAGACTGGTTTTTTTCAGTGTTTACCCAGTGCTTGAGCAATGTAGTTTTCAGAGTAATTTTCTCCCTTTTTTCCAAGGTTTTTGCCACAGAAGTGAATTCTCATCGAGATCAGATCATAGAGCTGGACAAAACTGGAACCCATTTGAAATATTTCAGCCAGAAACAGGATGTTGTCCTTATTAAGAATCTGCTGATTAGTGTACAGAGTCGATGGGAAAAAGTAGTTCAACGCTTAGTTGAAAGGGGAAGAGCTTTGGATGATGCAAGGAAAAGAGCCAAACAGGTAATCGGACAACAGCTGTTGTACAACTCTTTGAACTTAGCTGTAATTACATCCAGACTCTTGAAGAATATGGTGCTTTAAAGCACTTTCAAGTAAGTCTGGGTTTAGTGTAACAGACACTGTTGAGTTAGTGGAGCAATTTCTGTGATTCGATCATAGAGCACTTCATTTGGGAGGTGAAAGCGTCATTTTCAACCCGAGCAGTGACTTCTGTCTGCAATACAGGATAGTCTGAAAGAAGAAAGTTACAGTATGGCTTCCAGATGTATATTAGTGCCATCTGTCCTCAAAAAGAAGTTTCATAATCAACCCGTTATATTTTAAAGAATGTGATGAACCCTTTTCACTAATCTGTGGGAGTATGCCTTAGTGTTTTCTTCTTGGGTTTACGTTGTGCCCTGATACTCATCGCTTCCTCAATCTCTTATGTTAGTTACTAGACCAATATCTTCTCTGTGGTAAGATATCTCCATTTATTTCCTTAAAAACCTGGAGAGGTTTTTTTATGCAGTTTTCCTCACCAGGGAGCATTCATGGTTTTTTCCTTAGATTCATGTTCACTTCACTGAAGAACATAAATGATAAAACGCAAAATGTGTGAGAGGAATGTAATCTGTTTAAGCATCAGTAGGAAGTTCTACCTTCTTTTTATTCAAGTGAACATGACCATTCAAGATTGGTCATGTTCACAGCCAAACCACATTCCCATGTTCACTGCTACTGCCACTCAGCTCATAGAGTAAGAACTTCTCTGAGCAATAAATTAGCCCATAAGCTAATCAAATGTTATTTATTTTACAGCAGTTTCTCTTGTGCATCCACATACACAGCAGTTCTACAATGAGATGGATTTCATCTCTATATCCATTTACAGAGCTGAATACAATAAGTTATTAATTTAGGATGACAACTATCTATGCAGAGCAGGGAAGCAGTACTGAAGGGTACTGGTGTCAAGGCCTGATCCACAGCCCTGAACAACAGGGTCCAGGAGCCTTGAGACGTTTCTGAACTAGTTCTTGTGCTTTCATGTGTAGGCAGCTCAGGCAAGAAGAATTTTCAAAAGAGACGCAGAAAGAGAAATGACCAGCTTAGAAAAATTGAATCCCAAAGGGATGCCGCTTTGTGAAAGCTGGTTGAATCTTTGGTCTTTCCCTGCTTCCTTCCCTGAAGCACTCTTTTTGTTGAGACAGGAAGGAAGATCAAGGATCTGTTCCTTGCCCGTCAAGATAGCATTTGATATAATGAGAGCATTTATGAGCGTCCCAGGGAAAATCTTGGGCAGTCATCCAGATGAGAGTTTTCCCCAGTGATTTACTGCTGTTGTCCCATATAGGCAGTAGCTAAGCCCTATTCTTGCTGTATTTACTATTCATTACTAAAAATGTAGGAATCTAAATGACCAACACATCAACAGAAGTTACCAATATGTCTTTGAAAGATGCATACTGTGTGTGCAGATCATGTACATAAAAGGCTGCTAATTCACCTCGGAGAAGGGAGGCTAAATCATAGAATCATAGAATAGTTTGGGTTGGAAAGGGACCTCTAAAGGTCATCTAGTCCAACCCCCCTGCAATAAGCAGGGACATCTTCAACTAGATCAGGTTGCTCAGAGCCCCGTCCAACCTGACCTTGAATGTTTCCAGGGATGGGGCATCCACCACCTCTCTGGGCAACCTCTTCCAGTGCTTCACCACCCTCAGCGTAAAAAATTTCTTCCTTATATCTAGTCCATATCAAGTCCAGTGGGCACATGGTTGGGCTAGTACCTGTTTGAGAGACCAGGGAGAAAAAGCACACCAAATCTTTCCAAAGTCTGCAGAGTACTTGTTTGGCCTGTAGAGAGTTGGTTGGGGTTTAATGTTGTCAGACTATTTTATGAACCAGTGAATTTTAAAATCATGCAAATGTTGCTTTCCTGCAGTTCCATGAAGCCTGGCACAAACTTATGGAATGGCTAGAAGAGTCAGAGAAATCTTTGGACTCAGATCTTGAAATTGCAAATGACCCTGACAAAATAAAGATGCAGCTTGCACAGCATAAGGTGAGTCATGCGTGATGAAATGCAAAGTGCCCAGTGAGATGGTGAGATGTAGGTAAGTCTATCAGCCTTGCACTGTTCAGTCAGCAGAAGAAGTAGGTTTGTGGCCTCACTACAATGGAGTGCGTATTAGTATCAAATTAAACAGTGGTGTGTTACAGGTGGGGAGTGAAAAAAAACTTTTCACAGTACCTGATCTGTGGGGGAATGGTTAACTATGAAGAGGAAAGATGATAATACAGCACCATGGAAACTTTAAAAAACAAAGTAATACTATCTCAGAATAGGAATCTCTGAAAAGGTTTTATTACAGGCTTTTTTCAGTCCTTAAACCACAATTTTACCATCCAGTTATTTGGGTTGGGATTTTCCTTTTAATACTACAGGACCACCTCAAAACTGAAAAATAATCTTGTATTTTGATTGGCAGTTGCCTTTTATGTCAAGTGAAAATATTAATGAAATCCTCTAGAAAGTACAGTGACACCATTAGTAGCAAATGTTGTTTCTCTTCATGGGATTCAAAATTCCAGGACCAGCTTTCCACAAACCCAGATACTGTAGGTGAAAATGTAAAAATCTCCCTGATTGACCTGGCTTTTCAAACAAACAATGATAATGTAAAAGCTGTGTAGTTCCATCAGACACAGAGCAAAAGGATGGATGGAAGAAGTCTTTACTTCATTTTTACTTTTGTAAAGAGCCTAGAATAATATGTTACTGAGGATCAAGTGGGTGAGTGGTAGAATCTTCAGACACAGGCTGGGGCTCAAAATTTATCTTGGAGCAGTTTCATCAGAGACGGAGTATTGAAAGATCATTCATTTTTCTACACTTTGGCATACATTTACTTCTGTTTTTCATGTCAGTCTTATTGTTGTCTATTTACTCCTATCTTTTCATTCTGCACAATATCCCCAAGGGTTTGCAGATCTAATTTTTCCTTCTCAACATAGCTTCTGATGATTGCTTTTACCTCCAACAAGTTTTGTCACATACATTTATGTTTTTCATGTCAGTCTTATTGTTGTCTATTTACTCCTATCTTTTCATTCATTTTCTACACTTTGGCATACATTTACTTCTGTTTTTCATGTCAGTCTTATTGTTGACTCCTATCTTTTCATTCTGCACAATATCCCCAAGGGTTTAGGGTTTTAATTTTTCCTTCTCAACATAGCTTCTGATGATTGCTTTTACCTCCAACAAGTTTTGTCATTTATATTGATGATTGGTTACTGCATCAGTCTGCTTTGTATTTTTATCATCTCTCAGTTTATATGATGATTTAAGTATTGTTTATCAACCAGGAAAATATTCTCCTTTTAATATGGGAAAGCTGGCTGTTGGTCAAGCAAAAATAGTTTTACCTATGTTTCAGAGACGGAGTATTGAAAGATCATTCATTTTTCTACACTTTGGCATACATTTACTTCTGTTTTTCATGTCAGTCTTATTGTTGTCTATTTACTCCTATCTTTTCATTCTGCACAATATCCCCAAGGGTTTGCAGATCTAATTTTTCCTTCTCAACATAGCTTCTGATGATTGCTTTTACCTCCAACAAGTTTTGTCATTTATATTGATGATTGGTTACTGCATCAGTCTGCTTTGTATTTTTATCATCTCTCAGTTTATATGATGATTTAAGTATTGTTTATCAACCAGGAAAATATTCTCCTTTTAATATGGGAAAGCTGGCTGTTGGTCAAGCAAAAATAGTTTTACCTATGTTTGCTGTTAAAACTTAGATAAAACCTACATTAACATTCTGTTATGCTAACTCTGCAATTTCAGTTTGTTCTGGGATTGCTGCTGTTGCCAGAATTTGAAGTCAGCGGTGGGAATTTAGGAAAAAAAAGTCTTTTTGTTAAGATAGTCTTTCTTGTCTTCTCTGACTATCAATCTTTTAATCCTTCCGCTCCTCTCTTATCTTTATATAAAGTTCAAACTCCTCACGAGTATGGTCAACACATTGTGACTTTGGTTTGAGGTCCTTTCAGGTCCTGAGGTTTGACACTCTAGCTTTATTCTCCCCCGCTCTTCTAAAATGTTAAACTTGATAATCCCACATGTTCTTTATACCTACAGCAGTTCGTTTTATGAGCCCGAGCTTCCTCACATGGATTGGCAGATTCATCACTTCTCTCAATGATATCTTTTCTCCAGCTTCTTTTCATATAAAATGCCTGCAGAGAACAGCTACTTGAGTTGCTTGAATCTCATTTCTCATTAAGGAGTGGGATGGAATGTGGCACAGGGACATTAGGATTGAAACTGGCGATTTGGAGGAAAAAGATGAATGTGTGTGAGAGGGGGAGTTCTGTGAACTCTGTGACTTTAAACTTCAAACAACCCCCCCAAGAAATCAACTCAATTGTTTTTTAATGAGCTGTCAAACCTCCCAACACTGCAATGTCCTTCCTTGTATTTTGCGTCTTTTCCTTCCACTCCCACATATACCCCCTGTGTCTGTCTTTGTCTTTTCTGTCCAGCCTTGAAGGTTTCCTTGCTCCATTTAGTTAACGATTTTGCTATCTGAACTGAATGTGTGCTCTGTGTGTGCTGTAAGCAATAATTTGGACTCGCTCTTTGCCAGTTGTTACTGCCAAAAAAAAAAAAAAAGGCCCTGAAAGAGAAAAGCCAAGATAATATGTTTTCTCTCTCACTCATATCTAGTGTGTTGCCAGGGACTTTTGGGGGTTATTCATGGTCTGTTTATCAGCAATTTTTTTCTCATTTTTAGAAGTCAGGAATGGAAAAACCCTTACTAGGTCACCCAATCCATTCCTGTGCTAATGCTGAATGTTCCTTACAGTACATTTATATGAACCTGGCTAATTTTATCTGTATGTTCCCATCTTCCTTAGAAGGAAGGTAGATAGTTAATTACTGAGATTTCGTTCATCTTACCTGTCTGCTCCTGGCAGCTTAAACCAAAATCTGCTCTCAGTTACACCTCTGTGAAATCGCATGAAAGCAGATACAGTGTAGTGTGTGTAGTCTCTCAAAGAATTAATTGACTGCAACCCTTTGTTCACCTCTAAATCTGTTTTTCCTGTATGATCCTTCTCTGGCAGCAATTTCATTGTGTTTCCTCATGCAAATCAATAACACTGTGCATGTAGCATTACGTAGTTAATAAACCCCATCAAATAAAAGGAACACAGACATACTGTTTGTATTGAAGGAACTTATATAAAAAAACACGCTTATTTTCATTTTGAAAATTATTTTTATTGTAGTTCTAGCTTGACAATGGTGTTTGTATTCTTTCTTAAAGTGTGTTTCCTTGTTTTATATGAGGAAAATGAAAGGACAGTAAGGAAATACTGAATTACAAAACAAATGCTGCCTTTTTTTTTCCCCTGATAAGTTTTGATCCTCGGTTCCCTCTGGATCCTGAAATAACCCTAAAGTAAGGACAGTACAGTGCAAAATACCAAGCAAGTTTTAAAAAAGGAACCTTGAAGCACCCTAGGTAAAGCTGTCATACTGTCCATGTGGCATAACCCAGTGCCTACCTCCTACTTAAGACATCTCCATTCCACTTGAGCTTTCCCTGACACACATTCACATCTAAAAAGGGACGATGACTATGTGGACACAAGGGAAAGTCGGTGGAAGAGTTGTGAGCTACCATGGCACAGGTTGGTGCAGGCCAGCTGGGAACAGCTTGCCAGTGGGAGGTGAGCAGGCACCGTGTGCCGGCAGTGACCATGACGAATCCTTGCAATCTTTACATGCCTTGAGGAATTACTATAAGTTGTAAGTGGTAATCATTTCCTTGCCGGATGTGATGATACTGAAAGTTGCTCTGAGAACCAGATGAAAATCTGTTTCAGCAAACACTGAGCAAAAACTCTTTTGGCCTAGTATTTTTTGTGACCAAAAAAAAAGAACATTTATTTGATTCTGTATATATGAGTTTCCTAAAGCAAACTTGTAATTTTTATTTTTATTTGTTAACTGATTTCCTGCTAGCAGTTCATGAAGGTGTGAAATAAAACACTTTAAGCATTGCTACCATTTAAAAGCTGCTGTGTAACGCTGGTTTTGTCTTTTGTCAGTGTTCCTTTATTTAATTATTTCCTCTGTCAGTCAGTTAACTCCTCTGCAGTATCAGATGAGCTGTGTTTCTGTGTGCTCCTCTGTGCCTGTGAAAAGCTTCCAGAGGCTCTGGGCAGAAGGAGCTGTCAGAGCTGGCAGGCAGATGCAACTGCTGTGTCACTATCATCTTCCAAAGACCCTGGATCACAGAAACCTGCTTGTGATCATGGCTTCTAGCCCAAATTGAGTTATTGGGATGTCACCTGGCTGCTTCTTGTGCCTGGATCTGTATATTTTTGGCATACAATTCTTCCCAATTATAGTATGTTTCAATCTTAGGAGGGTTAAATGCTTGTGGTTGGAGGCTTCCCAGCTTGACTATGCTGAGCTAGAACAGAATGACCTTTGTAGCCCTTGGGGTGCTCTACACTGGCTTGAAAACTTAGTATGTAAAAATGTAGTGTGAAGACTGCTCAGTTCATGGCTCCCAAAGTAGCAGTTCTTTCACATTCTTCTGACTACCAGGCAGCCCCTTGCTGAAATTTAGGAATATTAAGGTAGGACAGGCATCGTTGCTCTCACTGAAGGAGGAGGAATTTTCCAGAAGTTGTTCCAGTAGGGGTAGAGCTACATTCCCAGAGAGGGACAAAAGGCAGGGACTCTGCTAGTGTCATATAATTTCAGGTGCACTGTAGCACTAGTAGACTAGAAATTTTTCAGCGAGTTTAAAATTTTCTTGCAGCAACATTTACAATTTCCGTTGCAAATAATATGTCAAAGATTAATTAACTGTGGCCTGTAAGCAGTTAATGTTATATGGGTGTTTTCTTTTTTCTTTCATATATACATAGGAATTCCAGAAATCTCTTGGTGCCAAACATTCTGTGTATGATACCACAAATAGGACTGGACGCTCCTTGAAAGAGAAAACCACCTTGGCTGATGACAATTTGAAACTTGATGATATGCTGAGTGAACTAAGGGATAAGTGGGATACAATTTGTGGAAAATCAGTGGAAAGGTAAATGAAAACCAATCTGATTATTCAGCAGATAAGGAAAAGGCTTAGGAGAATTCTTTTGGCTTCTGTTGTGTAAAAGTAAGACCAGAGTGGCTAGCTTGTTTGATAATTAAGAGTGCCAAGCCGTAAAATACTAGAAATGCATACTTTCCTGATGGTATGGAAGAGGACTTGGGGAGGGCGGGGGGGGATGGTCCCACTATTTAAAAAGGGAAACACTGATTTAAAGCTCTTAGTTGTTATCATATTATGCTGAAAACGTTTTCTTACAGTGTATGAATGATTATTTTGTGTGTGTGTGTGTGTGTGTGTGTGTGTGTGTTCATTCCCCCCCCCCAGACAAAATAAACTGGAGGAAGCCCTGTTATTTTCGGGACAATTTACTGATGCTCTGCAAGCTCTCATTGACTGGTTATACAAAATTGAGCCTCAGCTAGCAGAAGATCAGCCAGTACACGGAGACATTGATTTAGTGATGAACCTGATCGACAATCACAAGGTAATTCCAAAAATATTCTTTTTTAATTACTAGACTGCTCATAAGTGTAGCATTTTAATGCAATCTTTATTTGGCTTTTCTGTAATTTTTAGAAACATGGAATAGTTTTATAGCACAAACATGTCATCAACAATGGAAAATGCTATTAAACATACGTGGAAGAAAACAACTGTTAGTGACTCATTGACACCAGTTAGCATTGAGATACTCTGTTTAATGCTGCTATCCTGTGTATTTAGGAATATCATGTCAAAAATCGCAAGTGTGCATTTATGAATATGTGTGTGTGGGCAAGAGGTGGCAAAAATTATATTACCGGAAATCTTTGGGGGAGACAGGGCTTTTTATTTAGTACATCTGCTAACCAAATGTCCAGTGCACTCGTCATGACTACAGCAGCCTTTCAAACCTGCAGGGCTGCTGTATATTCATGGAGAAAAGTAGCTGCAATGCTTAAGTTATGCACGGGAATATACAGCTAGACTCTGGCCCAGGAAGCCTACATTGGCAAGCTGCAGTGTTTTGTTACTGAAGTGTTTTTTAAGATGGGAGCAAGTAAGAGATGTAGGACTGTGCCTCTGAATCCCAGTTTTGCAATTCAGTGTGTCAGAAGAAACAGCTGTTGAAGTTACTGGTATTGCAAAGGCTACACAACAGTCAGAGCTCTGGAGCCTGGGAGGATTATGAGGTGAAGGTCCCTCTGTTCATCTACCAGTGACTTCCAGTATCCAAAGACTGCTCAGTGAGAAGGAGATTTTGTCCCTCAAAAAAAAGTATTTGGAAACATGGGTTGCCTATAAAAATTAGCCTGAAATACACTGGAATTGCTTCTGAAATCGCATTGTATATCACAACCAAGTCATGGTTAGTGGCACGGTATACTGTAATTGTCATATCTTCTTTTAAGAGCTTCCTTTATGTAACTGGAGCTTGTTCCATCTGCAAATGTGAACATACTCTCACATAAATATATGAAGATGTGGCGAGATCTACAGCCTTATAGTCAGACCCCCAGATGGGGTTTTGGTTCCATTTTATGATTTTAAACCTTCTCCTTGATTGTTAGCATTTTATCTGATCTTTTCCTGCTGCGGCAATCTTGCACATTAATCAAGTGTGTCAGATCAATTGCTTTGATAAAAGAGTGTAAAGCCAGCGTGGTAAGGAGGCTAGATTTCCCATGCATTGCATCAGGATGGGTTCTCAGGATCTGCCTGACATTTTCCTACCATATTCCAGTTTTATTAGGATGGGATAGAGTGTAAATATCTACATATGGACTCTAATGAGCATAACTTGTGCGTTTTGAGTCACTTTGGAGTTATTCTTGATTGAACTAAATCCATATTTCGATTTCTTCTTCTAACCAGTATTTTTTTTGTTTCTCTTTACATAATTATGCCTTAATGAATTAAACATATCAAATGTATTTGGTGGTGCCTAGGTTTTCCAGAAGGAGTTGGGAAAAAGAACGAGCAGTGTCCAGGCTCTGAAGCGCTCTGCCAGAGAGCTGATAGAAGGCAGTCGTGATGACTCTTCCTGGGTCAAAGTCCAAATGCAGGAGCTAAGCACTCGCTGGGAGACAGTTTGTGCCCTGTCAGTATCCAAGCAAACACGACTGGAACAGGCTCTTCGGCAGGTAGAGGAGTACTAATGGTGCTACATGTACTTTATGAGAAGCAGAGAAAATATCTTATGGTCTAGTTACCAAAAATCTAATTTCATTTTCACTTCATGTCATTCAATTTCATTTAATTTCATTTAAAAATACTCATTTTCTTGCTCATGCATTGCTTACCTTGTCTCCATCCCTTTACCACAGCATGTAAATAATGCCTCTTAGCATTTATTATTGCTGTTATTATTAGTCCGTACCACACATGCAAAGCAAATGTTTCAAAGACCTTACCATCTAAGGAAATCACTGAAGTTACAGTCAAGCGTGAAGGGTGATTAAGAACTATGCCCCCTTCACATGAAGCTGGAGATTGCAATCATATTTATGCCCTTCGTGCCTTATTGGTAAGAAGTACATTTGTGTACTGAAAAGTTGTTTACATTGGCACAATTACAGTGCACGGTGAAGTACAATGCAGAAAAAATGGAGTTGTGCTGAGTGCACTCAGGAGCTAGAACAGTGTATGTATGTTAGTATTGGCTGGTACTGATCCCAAACAAATAGGTCCATCTGTATTGTTTCCAAACTTGAGATAATATGGATGTACAGCTCTGTGAAGATACACCAGCTTGGGTTGATGCTAGGATGGGGCTCATGCAATAGTGGAGTATCCACTGTGTACAAAATTCCTGCCCTGCTTTTCCCAGGGTACTGTGTTTGTCCAGCTCTCTGGTCTCTCAGCAGGCACAATCCTGAGCTACCTCAAACACTATTTGTGTCTGAATATGGCTGTGCCCAAAGGTGGAACTTTCTTGTTTTCTCCAGACATAAAAGGGTCAGTCACCAACGGGCTGTCAGTTAATTTTGTTTAACCGGTGTTTTAGGCTACGCAGAAAATACAGTTCTCATCTCTCCAGCTGGTCCATGAAAGCACCTCCCACGTAATTTGTCATCGTAAACGCATGACATTCTCAACTGAGCTGCAAATACACTATAAATCAGATGGCTAAAAGCATGAACAGGCTTTTAGGCTTCCTATAATTTTTTGGGAAGCATGAGATATTTTTACAGTTAGGAAAATGTAGTACTGTATATCATTGACTTTTTAATGGAAAGTTAATGTGCCAGTACTGCTGCATGATTAATGACTCCAAATGTGGGCTCAGTCTCCTTCTGTAAGCTGCAGTGTGTCTGTCAGATCCCCTCATGAGTGACTGTGACTTCTTGTATTTTAACAGGCAGAAGAATTCCACTCTGTTGTCCATGTCCTTTTGGAGTGGCTGGCAGAGGCGGGGGGGGCTCTTCGTTTCCACGGGGTCCTTCCAGATGATGAAGAGGCCTTGCGTACACTGATAGACCAGCACAGGGTAAGCAAGAAAATTAAGAGGGTCCTCTTAATTCTAATAGGCCTGTTAGAGGGTAGAATAAAGGAAGGGAGGCAAAGTCTATCCCATATAGTCATATCCGTCATCCAATGTTTGTTTTTGCAACTGTTTCTATAAGGAAGCTGGAAATTTAAGGGGGTTGACAGTTTGGTGCCCATACTGCTGTTGAGCTGTTGTTTGAGTCGTCTCGGCTTACTGAGAAAATAATGGGCCTTTAGAAAGTTGCTGTAAACATTTAGAGACAGATGCAAACCCCTTTGTGGAATATATGCTGCCTGACAATTATAACACAGACTGCTACAGTAGCAAAAGTATATCTGTCTTCTTAGCAGCATTGAGCAAAACAGCGTATACTTTTCTTTCAGGGTCATTTGTAAATGTCAGCAGAATGATGTTATCATCCATTAACCTTCTGTCATGGTGAAACAGCATGCTGTCATACTTCACATGCATTAGGTACTGAAATATTGCAGTGCCATAGGTACTGCAGATACTAGATTATAGGCCATCAAACTAACTTTGCAGTAATGAAATGGGAAAATAGCTAAGTAAGGAGCATAGAGGTCATATTTTCACTCTCCAGACAGGAGGCTACAAACATGCACGTTTAAGCCCATGCAAAACTCTTCTTGTGAGTGCAGTAGTAATAGTACCAAGAATGTAGTGCCCACAATGTTATAGAACAAATTATAAGAGTAATGGATTTGTTCATCATTGCTCTGAAGAAAGTAACAAAACTTATAAAATGGAGAGTGGAAAAGCATCCTGTGTAAATTGAGTTTGGGAATATTATTACGCAGCGGAGTGTGTGCAGGATATGACTATCTAATGGGTCTTAACTAAGGAGTTTTCAAGGTACACAAACTGCAATGTTTTGAAGAAGTTTTCAGATTTCATTTAGGGCCCTGGAAACTGGGTGCTACTCTTTAGCTGGCAAACGTATGTATGCATCAGCATATGCTGACTAATGTTGGCAGTAGCAACCTGCTGTCTCCGATGCAATGAAATCTGTCCTTTAACTGCCTTTCCTCCACATGTGCTTCATCAGTTCCCTTTTATTTAATTTTTTGGTCTTCTGAATACAGAGGAAAGAACTGTTTGAATGAAATCTTAGGTCCACTGAAATCATTAGAAAAAAACATCTTAAATTTCTCCCTCTGCAATGTAGATTGATTAACAAAATATTTCTGTACAAAAGCTCAAAACTGTGCTGCCAAAGGTGAAGCATAGCTTGGAACCTCAAACCAAAGCAAAGTTTGTCTCTGAGAAACCCTGTCCAGCTGGGGAGAATAATTGCTAGCACAACACAACCAACCTCAGTGTTAGATGTGGCCATACTGTACTTAGATTTTTTTTAGTAGGCTTTAGAAGATGTTCTCCCAACCACATTTTCTTTTTAAAGGCCAAGTAATAGAAATACAGAAATTGTCAAGCTAAGAAAGATTGTGGCACTGCTGCCTTTCCACTCAGTAAGCACATACACCAAAATCATCCTTGAATGAGTGGCCTCTCCTCTTAAGCTTACAACATTAGCTTTCAAGAAGAAAAAAAAGAAAATAAGGGAAAATTTAATCTGTGATATTAAACACCATGTCTGTATTATAATGCTGCAATATTAATATAAAAAAATGTGACTGACATTATTTACATAAATATGAAATGTATCTTCCTTTTATCACTGTGGTTCTTGTAAAATAGTTTTAATGTATTTGTATCCAGCTACACGTTGAAAGGTTTCTTCAGGACGATATTTTATCCAAATGGTCCATCTTTATGCCCATTACTGATTTTCTTTTCTTGAATACTGCATGTGATTTAATGAATTCTGCTCTCTCAGGCAGAGAGGTTTCTGTCACTCGCCATCCTCTCTAGGGACTGAGAGGTGTAGTAGGTTAATGCACTGTATTAATTAATGAGAAACATCCCATCTCCTCTCTTGTAAATGTGTCTATATCACTGGACTGCCACAGAGTTCAATACAATTAGTATCCTTTACTGAGGGAAAGCTTAATACACTGTATACAGTGTGTCATAGATTTAGATTTTGAGATAGTCTAGTACAGTTGTGCAGGGAAAACGATGATGTTGTTGCCTGTTTTCCTCCTGGCCCTGGCTTATTTTGGTCATCTCTCACTACAACCCACCTTGACTTTTCCAAAACCATTTTGAACTGAAATATTGTAAGAACTCGTGGTTTTTATGAGAGAAGGACTGCTATTGTGATTGGGTCTTAAACTCTGACGTTAATTTAAGCTTAAGTCAAAATCAGTTAGTAATGAATCCCTTTAACTATACAGTCTACCTATTCCAGGCTTTTAGAACAAGGTAGAACAGATGATTTCTTTTACACTTTTATTTCATAATAGCTTCATATTTACTTTGTAAAGGCACAGGGTAATGTCATTAGGAGTTGTTGTAGAATCTGTTTTTACAATGTTTAGGTGATTTTGAATTTTCTAGGATCTGACCTGGCTGATCTTTAATTTCTGGAATCCAAAATAGCCCTTCGTGGATGGAGAGAGGAAGAGTTAAACTTTCAGAGACATGATTCTATTTTGTAGCCCAATTACAGATGTTAAAATATAACAAAAAATTCCACTAAGCACTGGGAGATGTTGGCAGTTCCAGTTAAGGGCGCTCACAAAGACACACAGACTTACACAACATTTACACATAACAAAATAGGCAGAAGAGTTAAAACCATTGTAGTAGTAATAATTTAAAAAAAAAAAAAGAAATGCAAACTGTAGAAAGGATGGGAAAAGCCCTTCAGTTTTTTTGTAGTTTCCCGCCCTGCACCCAGTTCTGATCTTGCCACCCTTTCCTCTGCCGGACTCCCTAGGAACATCAATAGCTATGAGCTTGGATGTCTAAAGCTGTAAACATCCTTTTGCTTTTACAAGATTTTTCCCACATGGCAGTGCCTCTGAAAACAGCTGGTTAATTAAGTCTCTGTCCCTGTTCTTGCTGTGTCTCTCCCCATCAGCTGCTGAGTTTTCACATTTGTGTTAGTTTAGTATAGCTGCTCCTGAAGTCCTCTGTCATCTTGTGTGAGCATGTAATTATAGCTGGACATTTCCAGCCTCTGCTAGGAGCTTGATAGTTTATTATGAAGAATTACTGTAACTGACAGACAAACCAAGTCATCTGAAATGTTGCCAATAATGATTCTAACCATCATATAGCTGATTTACAGCACTTCTAAAATGCTATGATTTTTCTTTCTTTTTTTAATAAGGGCATGTGTCTTTCAAGTATTTACAGTATGGTGGGCTTTTAAGGAGTAGCAAGCTGGGGTAAAGATTGTAGAGCTTCATTTAGTACTTTATGTGGAATAGGCTTTTTAAACATTTTTAACTTTTCTGAGACAAATTAAACTTGCCTCTTGCAAGTTGAATGTTTGAGCGATCGAGAGGCTTGTGGCCTTCCAGACTATGCACTCAGATTTCTCTTGCAAATTTTGTCAACATCGAATTGAAATTGTTATCTCTGGTTTAGGAATTTATGAAGAAACTGGAAGAGAAAAAGGCAGAACTGAATAAAGCAACAGGTATGGGAGAAGCTATCCTAGCTATCTGCCACCCAGACTCCATCACCACCATTAAGCACTGGATAACAATCATCAGAGCCAGGTTTGAAGAGGTCAGTATACGTCAAGCCATCTTCATTGCAACAGTCCATCTTTGACTGGAACATAGCTGACAACTAACATGGTAGTTACACTGGGAGGAAATGATCCAGCTGTTGAGAACTAAACATTTAAAATACCCGCAATGATGGATGTGAATACCATGCTTCCATAGGTTTTATTTTAAAACTTGTAGGGCATTAAGAACTAAAGCAGATGGTCAAGCTTCTTTGTTTGTATGTATTAAAGGAAATACTGCCTGACACTTCCCATGTGAAGAAAGGCAATATTTCTAGAGAGAAACTTAAAAGTTACAAAGGAAAGAAAATACAGGGCAAACTTGAAGCATTTTCTAATTCTGTTAGGGATGATTTCAGTCCAACTTATTCCTAATCTAGAAGATTTCCACATGATTTAAGTGGCTGCAAGTAGGTCTCAGAGGGTGTACCACACTCTCAGCTGCTAAGGTGGTATTTTCTGCGTATATTAAGTTTAAAGAAAAACAAAATACTGGTGTTAGCAAAGTATGGCTTCAGGAGTGCCCAGGAGGAAGACGGACACCAAATCCTGTGTGATTCACTAACTTACACATATTGTTTGATAAAGCTCTTAATATGTTGCCTGAATGTGCTCTTTACTGCATTTAACAGCACCTAATTCTGAATATCTGTGGAAAAAAATGTGGTGTTGAACTGGGAGTTCTAGTTACCTGGCACCTTTAGTGATCAGCCACTACATCTACCATCTTTGATAATCAAACATCAATAGGCCTGGGAGGAAGCTCGGGGTTTACAGTTAGCAGAGCAATTTTAAATACATTTTAAAGAATTTCAGATGTGCACATACTCATGCATTGGTTCTTTTATCAAGGTTTTAGCATGGGCTAAACAACATCAACAGAGACTGGCAGGAGCTCTGGCTGGTCTTATTGCTAACCAGGAATTGCTGGAAGCCTTGCTGTCCTGGTTGCAGTGGGCAGAGACTACACTTACTGAAAAAGATAAAGAGGTTATCCCCCAGGAGATTGAGGAAGTTAAAGCACTTATAGCCGAACATCAGGTAAGGCATGTTAAGTGGCACGTGTTCTACACATTCCACAAACGGTGCTCGTGTCTCAGCTAGGTTTCATAATCAAGTGTGAATCTCCTTAGCTATTTTCTTTCCTAATAATCAAATCCCTTTTCAGATACTCAGTTGTGTGTTTTGTATGTGTACAATGTGCTTGTAGTTTATTCAACACAGAAGTAAAAAAACAACCAAACAACAATTTAGTTCCATGTTGTTCTAAAAGCAAATGTACAACTCCCCATAGGAACAAGAACAATAAAAAAAAACCCCACATGAAATATATGATAGTGCTGCTGCCTTAAAACTAGTGTTGCAGTGTGGCTTTGCTGATTGGGTTTCAAAAATATGTTTATGAAGTGCCAGAGGGAGCTGCTGGTGCAGTGAATGTTCATAGGCTTACCCCTGCTTACACACCAGAGCTGTCTCACTTCTATGAACTGCAGTCTGGACAGCAAGGAACACCTGAGTACTCAGAGCCAAAATTCTGTTGTACATCATCTCACCATACACAGTTAATAAAGGAGTTTGACAGACTGCTTTTTAGATTTAGCCTTCCTTTAACAGCCAGGCCATAGTGGTCTTAAAAGCTTATACTGCTGATTCTTCTGACCTACAAAACCTTTATTTGTGTCTTTTTTGTGAGGCTGGCATTATAAGAGTCTTTCTGTGCCATTCTTGTAACTTCGGTGTTTTGCTATTGTATGTGTTTTTCATTCCTGTGGTTACTTTTGTGTATTGTTAATTAAAACCACATCTGTCTGATTTCAGACATTCATGGAGGAAATGACCAGAAAACAACCTGATGTGGATAAAGTTACAAAGACCTATAAAAGAAAGGCACTTGAACCCACTCCAGTACAATCTCATATTCCTGTCCTTGATAAGGGGAGAGCAGGAAGTAAGTAATGGAAGTATTTTGGGGCAGGTCACACACACCATTGCTCTATCTATAAAGATTACAGATTACTAATTATCTAATAGATTTGATTAGCTTCTAGCGAAACGGTGAAATTCTCTTGGCTGATTTTTCTAATTTTCTCTTATTTTTCATTGTGAGGAAATTTCTCATAGCAGACTTGTATTTTTAAATTTTGTCCTATACTTCCTGAATACCTATTTTTAAAGTGTGCAGCCTTTCATGTGCTGTTAAACTTCCAAGACTGTGCACGTGCTGAGTCTTTGCAAGTCTACTATGAGCTGAAAGTGCAAACTTCTTTTACATAAAGATGGTAGAGACAAAATTTTGCTCTTACTGTCTATGAAATTATATGGATCCAATTAGAAAGTGTGTTCAGCGAAGTTGAATGGAGAGTGAATCATCAAGTGAGGAAATTGCTTTTTGTTTTTAGATATACTTACCCATTGTATTTTATACTTACCCGTGCATGGAACCTGCTTCTAAAATCAGGTTGTTTACTTTGCAACTCTCTGAGAGATTTGCAAAGATTTTATTTAACCTGTGCAGCTTCACTAGTGCAGCCACTACTAGCTGCTTCTGGCTAGACAAAAGATACTTCAACCACCATGTGGTCCTTCCCCAGCAATGGTTAAAAAAAAAAAAAAATCCCATTAGTTGGAATCATATCAGGGTATGGCCTCATTATTTGGGACAGGAAGGAGTAGTTTTAGGAAGGTCAAGTACCCTTCATGTGAATGTTTGTTTTGTTTGAACTGGGTGAGGCTTACACATTTTATCATGTTTTAACAGGAAAGCGTTCCCCAACACCAGGCATATATCCGTCAGCAGCCCAGGCGCAAATCGAAACCAAGAATCCACGGGTAAACCTTTTAGTCAGCAAATGGCAGCAAGTCTGGCTTCTGGCCTTGGAAAGAAGAAGAAAACTTAATGATGCTTTGGACAGACTTGAAGAGGTCAGGAAAGGACTGTACAGAATATACATACTTGTTGCATAATTTTGTTTACCCTGGATTAAATTGTAAATACTGTAAATACTGTAAACAACTTCCATATTTGTTGTATTATATTGTATGATACAGCTAATTGAAAACACTGTGATACACATGCTTTAACATGCTTTAAAAGCTGTCATTCTCATTTTAAATGTGAGGAGAGTTAAGAAGTTTAAAATGTTTATATAGGTCCTCAAAGAACCAATTATTCAAAAGAACGTAGATGGTATCTCTCGTTGATTTTCTAGATTGATTGATTTCAACTGAAAAAAAGTCCTTTCTCTTTTTTATTAAGCTGAGAGAATTTGCCAACTTTGATTTTGATATTTGGAGGAAAAAATACATGCGATGGATGAACCATAAGAAGTCTCGTGTGATGGACTTCTTTAGGAGGATTGATAAAGATCAGGATGGAAAGATAACAAGGCAGGAATTTATCGATGGAATTCTTTCTTCAAGTAAGTTTTAAAATTAACTTAATGTTGAACTTGGAACAAACATCTTATGAAGTCTTACTGTCAATATAGTGTACCCTATGTGGTTTGTTGTGTTAGCAGGTCACAGATTTCCCTTTTGAAGTCATTAATTATGATTAGTTTAAACTATAATTATTTTACTTGAAAATATTTCTAGATTCTAGAAGCTCTTTCTAGTTCTTTTAGATTGTGACTCAAATTACAAATGTCACATTTCTATTATTGGCTAATTAATAGTTTACTGGTTTACTGGACTCGGATTGTCATTCCTACAGTACACTAGCCACTTCAACAATTACTTTTTATTGATTAGTCAGAATAGTAGAATGTACCTTATAAAACCTACAGATAATTTTCAAAATCAGTTCATATGATCGTATGATTTTTATTAAAGAACTTAAATGGAATAGTTTCAATTATAGAAGGAAACCATGTAATTTCTGAAACCAGTGTTTCTATAAACCATGACCATGTTCATATACCTGTATAATGAGGATCAAAATGTCAAGCAATCAGACTAGGAAGGGACTTTTCCTAGCTTTCCTGATGGATTGCTATTCCTCAGGTATGCACAGTTGGTGGTTACGTAAGCTTTCCACATCTTGTCTGTGTGTGATCACGTTTCCCTTTAGCAACTGACTTATAGCAGATAAGGGCCTACTACTTAAAATAATTTTTTATCTTCAGATCATAGAGACTTTTGCTTTGAGCAGTGAAGATTCAGAATTGGGCTGCTCTTAGCATCTCATGTTAAAGTTATTCAGTAGGAGAATATTGTAGTGGATATATTTTCCCCCTGCTTTAGGAAATGCAGTTATACACTCACTATATGTGCACATTGCTGTTTTGCATGAATTGACAGAAGTTGATGGAGAAAACCCTGATACAACCAAGATGTTCAACAGCTTACTCATTTAACTCAGCTGGTATCAACTTGTTATAACTGCTAAATACTCATGATTTAATCTTTGTTCACCATCTCGAAATTTTCTTTGACCATTTTGTAGAGAATCTCTGTGTGGGTTAATATTCTGCTGCTGTGAACTTGATCTAAAGAAGGATTTCACGAAACACCGTGCATGTTTCTGCAGTGGGAAGGCCTTGCATTCCAAATTTAATTAGCAGTGAATTCTCGCTTGACCTTTCCTCACTAACAATTTATCTTGTTAATCTGTGGTATTTTATGCACTTTGAAGGTCAAAATGTTAAAAACCCCCCAACCTTACAGTTTAATCTGTGCCCTCGCTTCTGTGTCTCTCTTCAAGCCACACTATGATATTCATTTTAATCCAATATCTAGGTAACATTGGGGATCCAGATTGTTTTTTCAGAAAGATTCCTTCATTCTTTTGAATGTCCCTGTTTTTTTGATAAGCATTGTCTGTCACCTAGTGCCTAAAAACCTTTCAGTATTTCTGATAAAGCTTTCATTGTAATGGGATTGAAAAGCCAAAGAACTTAGCTTTTGTTGTTGTCTTTGTCTTACAGAATTCCCAACAAGCCGACTTGAAATGAGTGCTGTTGCAGACATTTTTGATAGAGATGGTGATGGATATATTGACTATTATGAATTTGTAGCAGCTCTTCATCCAAACAAGGATGCATACAAGCCTCTCACAGATGCTGACAAAATTGAAGATGAGGTACATTCTCTGCTTTCTTAGATTGCACTCTCTTCTACTGGGGTCATGTGCTTTAATAATTTATTTTATTTCCACTCTTATATAATTTGAAGTTTACCAGTTACAGAAATATTTAGAAATGTGATATTAGCAGTGAAGTAATCATTCAGTTGTGGTTTTTTTCAGGTTACAAGGCAGGTAGCTAAATGTAAATGTGCAAAACGGTTTCAAGTGGAACAGATTGGGGATAACAAGTACAGGGTAAGTCTTCTAAGGACCTTCCTAGTTCTTTCAGCTTAAAGATTCTTCATATGACATGGTTATGCAAGGAATTAGGCTATAGTAATTTACAGGAATTTTGTATGACAATTATATCTTTTCTTACGTTAAGCTTGTCTAAATTTTACCGTTTTTTTCTTGTTAGAACATACAGGCTAAAAATATGGGAAAATGCTGCTGCTTGTATTTATTTTTGCTGGAACTACTGAAACTGTTTTCAATGTATGGGAATTTTTAAAAGCTAACTGAGTGCATACATACATACGCACATACATACATACATACATACAAAAAGCCAATCTTTTTGCCTGGATACCTGAAGTGTTTAAACTGTAGCTGATTTTCTATTAGTTTCATAAAAACAGCGATCTTTTCCTGTGGTATTGTGTTGTACTTTAAAAATCTTTTACCAAAGTGTATTCAATCACTTCTATTCTCCCTTGTCATTTTATTGGAGCACACTGTTCCTTCTGAAGAAGTACAAGAAATGTGTTGGATATCTGCAGAAAGATTTTAGATCACAGAAAAATAAATATCACATTGTAGAGAAAGATCTGCTACCCCTAGCTTCAATAACCAGAACAATTTCAGATGAAACATCCAATATTTGGCTAAGAGAGTTTACTAAATACTTGTAGATGATTTTAAGACACAGAAACAGCAATGGGAAGGAGACCAACGCCTTGAGTATTTTCCAATACTCAATCTCCAGATGGCTAGCTACCTGCTCGTCTCTGAAGTAGATACTTTATTTAGAATGTCTAATGTGTTAGTTTGCATGTGTTCTAGAGTCATATAGAGAATTTCCTGTAAACTAATCGTGTCTTTCTTCCATTTTTCATTTCTTATCAGTTCTTCCTGGGAAATCAGGTATAAACCAGTGGAATGTGTTATGAAGTTTCTTTTTTTCTTTTTTTTTTTCTTTTTTTCTAACGCATAGTGATTTGAGCTTGCAATGGTCAGTCTTCTCGCCATCCTTTCATCTTCAGCTAATTCATTGCTGGTCAGCTGTGGTATTTCTTTAAATGCTATGGAGCATTCCTTGTCTCAGGATCCCTCCTCTTCAATCCCTCACCTGCTTTCTTTGGCCATTTTCCTCATTAAGAAGATTACTTTTAAAGGAACCAGATAATGGTCACCAGTAATTTCCACAGTAAAAAATCTTGAGCATTTAAACCGCAATTTTAGAATTACTATGATTTTATCAGTTTTTGGTTTTATAGTGGAATGCTTCAAAATTCTGTGTTGGATTTTTTAGGCTAATCACAGTAAACACAGATCCCAGTGTCGTATCACTTATTTATTGCAAATTAGGCAAAAAATATTTTCATTTTCACAAAAAAAAAAAATCCCTGTGCAATCAAGCAGACTGATTAAGAACCTAGCTGATTGCTGGTATTTTATGTACTAGTGCAGTTAATCATTAAATACATATTTTGGAAATGGGCAAATTAAACCTGCTGTTCCAGTTCAGACTATTCCCTCTCCCAAAGTGTTTTCAAAGAGCTATGGCAGGTCTATAATGTATTGGAGCTGTGTTTAAAAATACTTTTTGTCAGTTGAGTCATCAGCGAGTCATACCGCAGTGGCATTGTACAGTGGTACAGGGAGGATACGCTAACCAGTGCCCACTTACTCCTGTGGTACATACTGATACACAGCTTCTTAAATTGTTAAATCATGCTTGCCTGGTAAGAATGGAAATACTTTACACAGACCAGATACCATTAGTATCTTATTCATGCTCTTAAAAAGGCAATAATATGTATAATCCGTTCTGGAAATGCTAGTGTTAACAGCATTAGCCATTTTAAATCTAGAGATGTTGAAAATGTAGTTGCATTCTTATTTATTGGCAAAGCCTGTTGAAGTATAGAAGAAAGCACAAAGAGCAGTGGATAATCTTACCACATGCCTCAAGCAATATATCTAAGTAATAATTTAAAATGTTTTCCACATATAGAACAAGCCTCTATTTGAAAAGACTATTTGAAATTATGTTAATCCTCTTATCTGCCATCTGTACTTTCAGATCTGGGAAAAATACAGCATTTTTTGAGAGCTTCTAACTCTTACTGGTGCAGAACAGCATCATAGTAAAAATCACCTACAGCAGGTTGGCTGAGGCTTCTCTAGTGACAGTGGTGTTATGTGGCTATTGTCAAGAACAGGCCTTTTTGTAGCTTAAACTAGACTTCCTTTACATTTTTATTCCAGTGTTTTTACCTCTGATTATTTGAAACAACAGTAAATACTGTTCAAGGAAAGTAGGTATCCAGGCTGTTTTAGGAAGGAAATGGACTGAGTTACCATTAGGAAAAAAGCCTTGATAGATACCTATGTTATTTTCCAGGAGCCCCACTGTCTGAATTAACCACAGCCTAGGTAGGCAATTTCTGAAGGATACTGTACCTGACCCTTGGTATAGTTGCCTGATGGGGTCTAACTGAGAAATTAAGTTGGGATGGGGGAAAAAATAAAGAAAAGAAAAAAGATAGTATCTTTAGAACCTCTAGAAAAAATTCTCTGTAGAAACAAGCCAATGAAAATAAATGGCATCAATTTGGATGCCATTTCTTTTTTTAACTTTGATCTACATATGTAAAACAGTTCTTTATTCGGCACATACTGAATGCATTATTAAAAAGCCCTTACAAATAATGCTCATGTGAATGTTCTTATTTATAACAAAAAAAAAATTATTATTGAATTAAGCAGCAAGCTTTGCTTTTGTTTGGTTCCTAAAAGTAATATTCCTTTAAACTTACTCTCTCTTCTTGGCTTAAGTAGTACCAAACAACTAAAGCCATTTAACAAGTAGGGAGCACGTTTGTGTGGTTTGCATTTAAGGCATTTCAGTCCCCTCACTGGAGCAAGTAGGTACAGTTGAATTATGGCCAGCCTTCTCCAAGGGTCAAAGATTGTCCCAAAGAGGTGTATTTGACTCCCATTGGTTTCAGTGAGTGCTCTGCGTGTTTGCGTGTGAGAGCACTACACTTAGCCTGATGATCTGATATCAAAATAAACATTTTGGTGGCATTGGCTAAAAAGTACTGAATTCTTCTGGTTAGTTTTGTGAGATCGTGGGGTCAACATTTTGGTCATGTTTTCTTTGATCCAGATTTGAACGGAGGTACTGCATACAGATTTTGTTACACAGGTTTCAAGAGCAAAACATATGTTAGGCCTGGCCATCAGCCCAAAGGAAGAATGGGCTAGTACAAGAGTTAGTATGAAACAGGTTTTTGTGCTTCTCTGAATTGTGAAGAACCTCGATGTGTAGACAGAGGAGTGACAGTTTATAACAAAGGACAATAATGATAGCTATCAATCATTCATTGCTGCTTTAATGTTCCCTTCCCCACATGCTCCTTGCTATTGGTGAGCAGTGTCAACGCTATACCTGAAAATATCCCTATAAATGAATCAATTGATAGAACTGTGCAACACTCGTAATGCGTTGAATTTCTAGCCCGCATACTGATCTTTCAAAGTGATGTTGCCTTCCTTTCAGCCGACATCATTAAAATCTAGACTGTTGCAGAAGAGAGTTTGCTTAAGATTTTAACAGTGAAATAATGCAAATAGGTCTTAATTAATTTGCACAAATCCAGATCGTAACAAATTAAATAATGTGTTACTAATTTTGCTTCCTTTATGAGCTCAGACATTTGAGAATCAAGCATAAAATTAAACCTGAGATTCTTTCTTACCGTCCTGCCATCTCCTTTGGATTAATGCAGCAGCACCTGATTTGAAATCTTAACAGCTTTAATAATCTGCATAAATAAATCTGATTTTTTAGCATTTACTAATAATTAAATATTCAAATAAACTGTTTAAAGTGTCTGATTTTTAACTTATCAGCGTTGAACTGCATCTGAATGACTGAGAACCTGAGACTGTTGTTTGATTTTTATTGCAGTTTGGTGACTCTCAACAACTGCGCCTTGTTCGTATCCTAAGAAGTACAGTCATGGTTCGTGTTGGAGGTGGCTGGATGGCACTTGATGAGTTCTTAGTGAAAAATGATCCTTGCAGGGGTATGTAACACCACTGTTAAAATGGACATGCAGATAATTATTTGGATACAGTCACCATTCATTGTCTTAAGATGGAGATTGAATTGTATAAAATGCCAGTTCTGTAAACATCATCTCACTAAATGTCACATAATGATCTGTTTTTGTAAACTTTAAATCCCATGGTTAAGATCCTCTCCACTTCAACTGATGTATGTCTAGAATAACTGTGGTGTCTTTGCGCAGTTCCTCCAGTGTTAGAGTGGTGTAATTAAGAATTGAACTTAGCCCAGATAGAGTTTATGGCGTGTAAGCTGCTTGTATGACTTGGCAGAAATAGCACACAGAAATGTCCAATACAACCTTCTCAGCAAGAGAGAAGTTTTAAGGCAATAAATCAAAATAAGGCAATTGAGTCGAAGAGTAACAACACCACCACAAAAAAATTTCTCTGGCCAGTGGCTGCGCCCAGGCTTTCAGGCTCTGCCTTTGTAGCCCTGTCTTTTCATTGGCATCCTCCCCAGAACCACATTGCAGAGCCCTGAGCCTTGTACAAAGCAAGTGGAAAATGCTCTGGTCAGGAGGACTTTGTGCTCTGGGGAAGCAGGGAGCACTCTGTCACCGTGCCCTCCAGGGCATTGTATCAAATGCATTGTTTCATCAGTACACAGCAACGTAATGACATCTTAGTTTGTTGGAAAGCCTACTTCTGTAGTAGGCTACTACTTTCCCTATTAGGGAAAGTAGGCTGTGTCTGGCACCGTTCTTGGAGGAACAGCTGGAGATAGGAAAGAAGCCATTTGTGAAGGGAGCGGGAGAGATACAAGTCAAATAGTAGCCAGAGTAGTAAAATTGCAGAAAGTATAATAATGACTGTGTTCAGAGTGAGCTGACGTTCTGTAACTAGGTAATTCTATCCTGTTAACTAGCAGCATTAAGTTTACTGCATTTTTACCTCTCAGGAGTTCTACAGAATCATAATCTATATTGTAGTAGCACAAGAACAGCACAGGGGAGTTCAGGAGAGGCAAGTGAGCTAGTGAAGGCAGGGACATCAACTGTCCTGCAGACCTTACTCCAGTGTCAGCTATATCACACAGCTTCTACTTGGGACCAAGGTTTCTAAACAGTTTGATACAGACCTTGAGAGGGTGGAGAGCTTGTATTTGTAGCAATTGTCATGCTAAGTCAAGGATGTTAAATCCAAAAAGAAGCTACCACAAAACCCTGTAAGGGCTGACAGTGTGCCACTAAGGCCTAGAAACCTTTGTCTACAGGCTTAAAAGGTACCCATAAAACTTCTTATCATAGTATCATAAAAGAGCTGTCATAACCTTGTGATGACATCTGTGAGTTTTTCAGCAGTATTAAAAATAGTCCTTTTTGCTTACCAACATATTGCATATGTTGTTTACTAAAGAAACGTAACAGTAGTGTTACGTTTATTGGTGTTGGACCACAGGTCTAACTGAAATTTAGCACCTGATTCTGCACCTGCTACTATAGGAAAGTCATTTATGCCTGCAGAGCCATCCTTACTTTATAGCTTTCTACTTGTATTCCTCAAAAGTGCATGGTAGTAGAAAATGAAATGTGCCTCAAAATATCTGACTTCATTGAAGGGTTAACTTGGTTAGTTTTGATGTATCCCAAATATTTTTCTCAGGCCTATTGACAGGTAGACTGTTGCAATTCTTACTTGGGTTGACTATGAGAGATACAATACTTAATAACTATCTAATTAATTTATTGGAATTCCTTATTACTGTCCTCAGATTAAGAGTCCTTTGGAACTTTATCCCCTCTTCTTTAGTAAACCTTGTATTCTATGTATCTCTACAGTATTTTCTGTAGTATTTTATTCCTTTTTCATGGGACATACATGAGCAGATGAGTAAGTCAACACAGTGGGTCTAAAGGAATACCGCTCTCTCTAAAATCATCCAGACATTGGATGTTGTGCATTGGTACCCTGTCCTAGTCTCGTTGAAGTCAGTGATGCAAAGTAGTCATTGCTGTCAGTGGTGCAGGTTCAGACTTTTCCTTAAGCACTTCGCCTAGCAAATCTGCAGTTCCACCAAGGGCTTCTCTTGTGTTCAGATAAATCACATTTCAAAGAACTGTTGTCATAAACAGCTTTAAAAGTATTGGACCTAGTTATATAAAATAATTTTAGCTTATATTACTTCTTTATGTCAGCAGATAAATACCATTACACAAGTATACTTAGGACTGCAGCTGAGTCTGTCCAAGCGCTATTTCCTTTTTGCCTAGGAGACCTTTGAGAACTCACCTCAGAGCACTTAGAGACAGCTTTTGCTCTGAGTCCTGTCTTTTGGCCTGGTGCTCTAAGTCTCTTGCATATGCAGCTGCTGTACTTGATTTCTTCTCCTGCTAACGATTTTCTTTAATGTGACCCATGTCCTGTGTCATTTTTTCTAGTTCATCATCACGGGAGTAAAATGTTACGTTCGGAATCAAACTCTTCAATTACCACTCAGCCTACTATAGGTTGGCAAACCCCTCTCTTTGTCTCCTTCTCCTCCTCTTCTCCTCTCTCTTCATTTCCTTCCCACTTTATTAAAATATATACTTTTAACAATATGCTGCATCCATCACATTTAGCTTGATGTGTTCCTACATGGGCTGGTGCTTTGCAAGCTAATTTTTTTTGACACGCTTTAAGAGTGTTTCAAAAACAATTGTCGTTCACACTGACACAGTTAAATGCTAACATGTCTTGTATCTATTCTTGCAGAACATTCTCTCATATGTGTGTTTGTATGTGTGTGTGAGTGCTTAGCCACCAGTCACCTCATCATAGTTTGGATTTTATGTTCATCATTGCATGTTGCCAAACTACATAACTTCATAGTTTTGAATAAATATATTTGCTGCTTTCCTGTAATTTGTACTTGGCAATTTCTTCTGGAACATCCAAGCAAGTATTATTTATTATGAGTAGCTGTAGAGTTAGCAAAACTGCTCATCAGGTTGTGTCTATGTATTAATAGTTGATTGATTAACAGTGACTTAGCACGTTGAGCATTCCATTATCACGCTGACTTCCTTTGACAGTGGTTCATTCCTGCTGGCATAAAGTATTAGAATAAGCAAGTTCTGCACATAACTCTTCTGTGTCCAAAATAAATGCATTACACCGTAATGCATTTTATTTATTGTTAAAATGTGTTGGAGTTGGCATGGCAAAAATGACAATAAACAGCCTTGTGACAATTTTCCTATCTGACTAAATGAACACCTTTCTTTGCTGCAGCTAAAGGGAGGACAAATGTGGAGCTGCGTGAAAAGTTCATTTTGGCAGATGGTGCCAGTCAGAGCATGGCAGCTTTCCGACCAAGGGGCCGTAGATCACGACCCTCTTCAAGGGCTGCTTCTCCCAACAGATCTACTTCTCTGTCAAGTCAAGCTGGCCAGGCAGCTGCCCCGCAAGCAGTTGCTACAAGTACGCCGAAGGTAAGGAGAAACATACAAAAATGCACTGGTTAACAAACAGGGTATAGGTTTGGTTTTTTCCCTTGCTCCAACAATATTGGTGCTTTCCCTAGCTGATAGGGAAGAAGTATCTCAATTTTATTTCATAGTCTGGGGAGGATCTGATAAGTCCTTTTCAGTGTATTTCCTCTACTGTTTGTTTGCAACATGGGTATACAAGAACTCTTTACATTTAAGGTGCCACATGAGCTAATTTGGGAGTAAGCTCTGAAGGAGCAATGAACCTCTCCATTTCATTTAAAAAACAAGCTCTGCCATCTCTTTGTTTCAGAACGTTTGTCATCAACTTTTTCTGCTTATTTTTTATTTCTACTATGAGATTTGATCTCCCTGTGAAAGCCTGGGTATCCTTCTCCATGACATTGTTTTCCATCTACTGTCCTTCATATTTTGATTTACCATTGTTTCATACAGACACCCCATCATTTAACACGCAACTATGGTAAACCATGGTTGACAAACAGCAAAACGTCAACTCCTTCTAAGCCACCAGAATCCTCAGACTATCAAGGGTCATCTGCAGAGGTACAGTAAGGACAGAGGTTCTAGTCTAATGACCTTCCTTCACTAAAACTGTCACTTCACTAACAGCCACTAGAGTTTCAGTGCTTCAGAGCTGCAACATCCTTTGCATATTAATGCATTGTCTTTATTTTAGACCTTTGTCAAATTATTTCTTTCCTTTTTTTTTCCCCAAGTCTTTTTTTTTGATGTTCTGTTTGTTAAGGTTTTTGACTTCAGGAAAACTCAGCCTCAATGAATTTATGTTCAAAGTGCAAATGGTTAATAAATTATAACACTATGCAATGAACTGGATGAGCAAATGTGGAAAAGTACCTTTTTTTTCTTTCTTCTTAATAAAGCAGTTTATATACTTTGCAGGTTTCTTTCCTTAAGTTGTTTACTTTGAGTTCATAATGTACTGTAATATTCATGAACTGCAGGAATTAGATTAATAAATTATGATCTCCAGTGCAAAACCACTAAATAAAGAAATATCCAATCACTGTGAAGAAGATGGCACAAAAGACTGACTGTGATATATAAATCTTTCCAACAACTGAAGGTTTCGTTTAGGGGGGCAGTGACCAATCATTGCTCTAATAAGATAGCTATTTGATGACTTAACAGGAAACGAGCTTTGGTCTTATTTCCAGCCCATGACTTCCATAGAAACTGCTAGTATAGCAATTAGGATTGTGCCGGCAATCAAGCTGGATGACCGAAATTTGAATGGGCTTGGAGCCAGTGTCTCCTCTAATGTCATTACAGTCAGTGAAAAGATTGCAGCTGGATCAGGCTGCAAACTGACTTCTCACTTGTAGGAGTTGCTCTTGCCCTGGGTTAGACCGAGGGCTCGCTGAGGGGAAGCTTGTGCTACCATCACCTCTGTTGTATCTGCTTTTTGCCTATCTGCGCTTTGATGCCTGTTGCTATTCATGTGACACCTTCCGGTGCTAAGTTTATGTGATGTCGACGTGGCTTTGCTCAAAGATGCATAACGAACTTTCCACTCCCTCCTTTTGTGCGAGTGGGTGCGTTACTGGTGCTCACTGCAGGCGTGTGTACGTATACAGCACTTCAAGCACACGGGACTGTTGCTTAGAATGATTAACAATAGCACAAAGTTGAGTCGGTTGTTAGTTTCTAATATATTCCTGTATTTTCTTTCATCTCTTAGCTGGTAACTGAACTGTAAGATTAATTGATGGTACTTTAAAGGGTTTATAGACATGGAAAGGTGGTGTTTTCATTGAATTACAATGAGGTGAAAGCAGTTTGCATTGATTTCAAATGGGGGCACTGTATTTCTCACCTGCTGTTACAACTGCCAGTAGTTTCAGTGAGTTTCCTTTATGTAAGCCGCCATGGTTTAACATTATAAATGGGACGATTGGGATGGGGTAGGTTGCTGTGAATTTCTGAGGCATTCTGAAACATTTTCTGCCCAAGAGAGCAGTTATGTATTTTATATGTAGACTGCATTTGGGTTTTGGGCTAAACTGAAGAACAAGCTTGATCTCTCTCTCTTCTTGCACCAGTGATTCTATCCCAATGCCTTGCCCAAAGTGCAGCAGCTTCGGTGGGGGTAATGGAGAGCGTTCCCTTTCTCCTTATCCTCCCAAGCAGTCTCTATATAGCAGAGATTTCCAAGGTGTGGCTGGCTGGATGTTAAGCACTTGTACTTGGCTTTAAAGAGAGTTTAACATTGTGACCATCCCTGTCAGAGCCAGCAGATTGTCCGCCCTGTAGCATCTCAATGCTCTTTTGTTCAGATGTGCCAGAAGTGGTCCGAGCTGGCAGCTACCAGGCAGGCTCCTGCCGAGCCTCCGCTCGGTGCTTAGCTCTAGGCGGCTCCCAACACACTCCTGGGTCTTGCTTTTCAGTACCTAATTCTACCCCACCGCTGTATGGGGATCAAAGGCACAGAACACAGGATCCTGGGATCCAGGCCACTCAACGTGCCGCGTTCATCACTGCAGTGTTTGTTCTTCTTTTTGGATATTTACTTAGTATTTTTGTGCTGATGAAATGAATACGAATACTGTAGTTTTCCTCTTACTTGCATACACCTCCTATCTAGTATGTTACATGCATTTTGAGATTTGAGGATTTAATTCTTGTGGCTTTGAAAGAAATCTTCCCATTTGGGGCAGATTGTAAATCAAGACTAGTTTTATTTCAGAAATGAGAAAGCAGGCAGGGTAAGACTATGGAGTAGAGACATTTCAGACAATATATTGACCACAAGAACTTTTTTAGTTAGTCCTATGTCTGTCTTTTCTGCTTTTTTCTAGGAAAAGGTTTTGAAATTGGGTAGTTTTGTAAGATATTTATACAATTGAAACAAGTGTATTCACTGCCTATAACCACAGTCAGAATGGTGGAAAGTCAAGCTATGCAGACATAAAACCTCAACTACTTGTTTCTGTTTATTTAAGTCATGTACCATCAACTAATCTTATGTGCTTGACTAATTATAAGAAGGTAGCATTTTTCTTTCTTTATATGCATTGAAATACACACAAAGAATGCTAAAATGTTAATGTCAAGCAAAGTGATTTTTTTTGTTGTTGTTTTACATTTGGACCACTTCAAATAGTAACTGCTAAAGGAATGTTCAAAACTTCATATCATGAAAAACGTCCGTAGTGACTCAAACCAGTATTTCAGATTCACAGTGAATGTTGTTATGATGATCATATTCAAAGCTATTTACTACCTAATACCAGACCTTATCTTCAGTAGTGACAATTGAAAAAAAAAAAAAACCTTTTTCTTTTTGTATAGGGAACACCGATTCAAGGAAGTAAACTCAGACTGCCAGGATATCTATCAGGGAAAGGTTTCCACTCTGGAGAAGACAGTGGCATCCTGTCAACAGCAGCTACCAGAGTTAGAGCTCAGTTTGCAGGTGAGTGTCTTGACTTTAGAGCTTGATCTACCACTTGGTTTGTTTTCCACCTGAATACTTAGGGTCACGTTAGAGTGTGAGGGAGATGTCAGAAGAGTGGGAAGGCATGAAAGTCCTACTGCCTCCACATCAGTATTGCCAAGGGTGCATATAATCAGGATAATGGTCCTCTGTTCACATGGTTGCACAGCAGGTACGTTCAGCTCTGGATGTGCAAATTCATGACTGCAACCTTCCTGACAATGGTATCTCCAGTGTATCTGCCTAAGGAACCAGGGAAGAAACATTTACTTAAAAAGGGTTCAGTTCTTCACAGTATTCAAGCTATGCTCAACTGTGTTGGAGCAAAGGGGTCGCTTAGTAATGACTTGTCCATTTCTTTTGAAAGAAGAACTGCAGGGAGCAACTGTAGATGACCTTATTAATGGACTATCCCATAGAAATTTTTAAAACAGTATATGAAAACAGAAAGCAGTGAAGCTGTGCTCTTCCAGGATCCTCAGAGCAGCTAGATGGTTAGAACAGGAGATAGGTCTAAAGGCTTTCCCTCACATCTTAAGCTCTGCAGAGCATGCTGAGCAGTACTGGAAAATCCTGTTCAAAGAGTAGACGTCTTTGGAGTTAATAGGTGATTTGAAAAATGAGCCACCTGGGATTTCAGTTTCAACTTGGTGTTCTTCACACATACAGGGAACCACATTTGTCAAGATTGACAAGATTCAATAAGTAATTAGAAAATTATGAAAAAAAAATTTAATGTTTTTCTGTTTCATATTCTTTGTTGTGGTTTTTTTCTTCATGGCACATTGTCTGAGCAGGCTTTCACTTTAGCAGGCTTGCTGGGAGCTCATTTACTCGGCCCTTTGTTTGGGAGAATGTATGCTCTGCCCCTATTTACTTGCAGTTTTCAACTGTATGTTTTGATTTTTTAAAAAAAGAGGGGTACGTGTTTAAAAATTGGGATATTCATCTGCATCTCCAAGGTACATATATTGGGAAATCCTGAATGCATGAAGAGACCAGGTACTGAATTCTTTCAAATCAAAGCTGAGAAAATGGTGGGGGAAAGAAAGGATCTGGCTGTTGAGTGAATATACAATGCATGTCTAGCAAGTCAAGAAAAGTTGCCAGGATAATATATTTTTAATGAGATGTGCTAGTGATGAATTAACTATGTCTCAGCATTTGATCTAACATTCCCTTCTCTTTAGTGGGAGATACGGCATTGTTCTATGCTCTTGTTTAATATCAAGATGAACTTGTAGATGACCATGATCGTCATCTAGTGTGCCTGCTGGAGGTCTAAAGTTTAGCTTGTGCAATGAGGTATTCTTGGGGTTGCCAAAGACCTAGGAAGGACCTGCGTACCTTTTCCATCCTTACGTCTAATACTGATGGATATCTTTTCTCTTTCTAGAAACCAGAAGAACTCCAAGCAGACCTGGAAGCCGAGCAGGAAGCAAGGCTGGCAGCAGGTCAAGTAGCCGCCGAGGCAGTGACGCATCTGACTTTGACATTTCAGAAATCCAGTCTGTATGCTCAGATATGTCAGAGACTGTTCCTGCTACAAGCAGACCGACACCCCGAGCAGGTTCTCGGCCAGGATCAGCCAAGCCTTCTAAAATTCCAACTCCCCAGAGAAGGCCACTAGCCAGCAAATTGGACAAGTCCTTGAAGAGATAATATGATTGGCTCCGTAAAGGTCTTTTCCTTTTGCATTAAGTATTTAAGTTTGTAAGATGTAAAATATTATGTAGAAATTATTGTGAAATATCGCAAGAGGTGGATTTTTAATTCTGCAGATGGCCTTATTTGTGTATTTGTCTTCTTATTTTATGTGTATAATTTTTGTCAGATTTGTTTTTGTTTATGCCATATCCTGTGAGAAGGGGGAAAGAGTTTTAATGTAAACTAACAGTTGTACACAGTAATGTGTAGAAAGTACACTAAAAATAATTGCCGAATGTACAGTGTACTGAATGTACAGTAAGTCTCTGCAACCTGAATAAAATAGGCCTATCACTATGTCATTAGTTAACAGTAAAGGATACCTCATGATTTTTCTTTAAAAAAGAAAAAGACAATACTAAAAAGCCAAAAGACACAATTACACATTTTGAGCTAACTAAACAAACACTAAAGGATGTACGTCAAAGCTACTAAGGAATAGAAACCCACAGTCACAGTACCCTTATTTATACAGCATCTCTCAGGGA